GAACTGGAAAAAGTCATCATCCAAGTGACGAAAGAAGGTTCATGATTCTCACATGCAGTTGGACAGGAGGGGAGGGCAGAGGTAGGGATATATCAATGAAATAAGCTGAGCTGAACGTAGGCAGCAGCTGGTTTAAACAGTGCTCCCCCTAAGCTTAGTTCTCATTTTCTTTTTTAACTCTGCCTTCAACATTTCAAGTCAGCAGGTGCACAAGTGAGCCCTCAGCCCCAGCGCTCTGCAGAACCCATCTGTATTTTACCAGCATCCACCCAAGGGCAGCTCTGCGCTGCGAAGCGGCCTTTTAAGGAGAGCTGCCAGCACCAGGGATCGGGTCCTGCTGTGAGCTTTAGCACTTTCTTGGAGAAACCAGCTTGTGTAACACGCACGGTGTAAGCACACGTGTCCCTGGCTGCAGGCTCTGCCCTCCCTGTGACTTAGGACCTACAAGCTGGCCATTAGCTCTGAGTACGCATCCCTGCACGCCCTGTGAGCCCAGGGAGCCCGGAAGAGGAAAGAGCCTGCTGTGGTGCAGCCCTAAGAGCTGTTTGCACCACCTCGAAGCGCATTGGGAGCTTTACAGCCCAGCAGACGGCTCCACGCACACAATTCATTGCCGTTTCGCGCTTCTTTGAGTACCTCCGTCTTCCAGGTGGAAGGAATCACCGCAACAACGGGGGGAGACGCCTCCGTGCTGTGGTGGTGCCTCTCCCGAAGCCGAGCAGAGCCGTCCCTCACAAAGGAAGAGCGCGGAGCCCGAGCTCGGCTGCCAGAACCGCTCCGCACCACCTCTCAGCGGAGCCGAGCGGCACGGCCGCAACCATCAGCCGCTGCCCGAGGGCGACCCCGCGTGGCCGCTACGGGTATCGCAACGGCCGCCGCGCCCCCACCCCGCGCAACGCCGCCGTCACCGCGCGGATGCCGTGCCTCAGAGCACAGCTGCAGAAGCAGACAATGTGCAAAAACGGTGTCCTTTCTAAATCAGTACCTTACCTGCTAAGCCACAGCCCCTGCAAGGTGTTAACGGCACATGCAGGCGAACATGAACGCGCAGGTGGCAATTAGTGGCATGAAAATGGCTCCAACACACCAACACGGGCTTCGGTGAATACTGACGCGTCTTCTGCTTGCAGTAGTGCTGGAACGAGAAGCCCCGGCTCATGGCAAAGCTTAGAGCAGAATCAGAAGGCAAAGAAAAAGCAGGAGTGAGCCTGTCCCATTCATTTGCTTCACATGCAATACTGGTTCAGCTTCAGAAGAGATTTCTCCAAGGTTCTGCTCATGTTAGCTGGCCATGGCATCTGGGGGCAGCAGTGCCTGATGGCACAGTAAGAACAGACCAGAAGAAGCAGGAAGATGAAAGCCACAGTTATCCCAGTGACTTCAATGGGGAGCTCGTTCCCCCACTCCAGTCTGTCAGCAGAAAGGAGCTCATACACAGCAACAGCTTACCTGTCTTCTGATCACAATCATAGAATCGTTTCAGTTGGAAAAGACCCTTCAAGGCCATCTGCTCCAACCCCCTGCACTGAGCAGGGACACCCACAGCTCCACCAGGTGCTCAGAGCCCCGTCCAGCCTGACCTTGGCTGTCTGTAGGGATGGACACCCACCGCCTCTCTGGGCAACCTGTGCCAGTGCCTCATTGCCCTTACTGTAAAAAAAAACACAAACCTTCTTCCTTATATCCAGTCTAAATCTCTCCTCTTTTAGTTTTAATTCATTTCCCCTTGTCCTATCACAACAGAACTGCTAAGGAATGTCTCCTTTCTTACAGCCCCCCTTTAAATACTTTATTCTCTAAGCATCTACTGCTGCTGTGAAGCAGGGCACTGATGTGCCTTCAGTATTAAGAACTAATAAATAAGATTATTTTGTTCTTTGAAGCAACAAAGCCTTCAAAAGAAATGCTCCATGGTAAAATCAGTGCAGCCATTGACTGCAGAACGGAAAAGATCTGGTCAGATGTGGAACTGCCATACAAGTACCCCTAACTTCAGGCTGAGGTTCAGGCAGTGCTGTCTGCTAACACAAAGCATCTCTTTACAGGAAAAGTCCTGGCCTCTCCCATGAAAACTTACAAGCTCACGCTGACATTGGAAATAAAGAAAAATTGTAACCCTGCATGCTCAAAATTAGCAATCAGCTTTACAGAACTAATAAATGGCTCCTGAACATCCGCAGCATGGAAGTTTTACAACAGGATGCTCCCTCACACAGTAGAAATTACCATCTACCAACAGGTCTATGTGCATTTGAGCTTATCGCTGAAGTGGGGAGGTCTGTCTCCAGATCTGCTACAGTCTTCCCCTATGACTTGAAGAACTCCTGAATTTCTGACTTCTTTAACATAAAGATGCAAATACTAATTGTTCATCCTAATTTACTTCAAGCCTAGTTCATCTTGGCAAAACGTTGCAATCAGAAAATCAATCTCTTACTGTATTTGATCGTAAAGCTTTACCACAACAGGAGAAAACAAAAGAGCCCAAATATATTGTAAGGCTCTACATCTCCAAAGTTCGTTCCAGGGGCCACAGCTTGTAAAAAAGAACAAAGCACTGAGCACAGCAGTCAGACCGCAGCACCCAGTGCCCTTTAACAGGCCTCTCCCCATCTCTCAGCACAGCCCCAGGCCTTAAAACTTGCCTCACATCTGATCCACGACATAAAAGAGATGTAGGCATTTTAGAAAGCCTAAGTAGAGGCAGAATTTGAGACCAACTGTATCTGAATCCATTTGTTCCTTTTGAGTGTTCCGTGGTTGGCTCTGTCCCCTCACCCCTTCCTCGAATGCATCTATTAAAAAGCAGAACCCTTTTATTTAAAGCAGCCAACCTCTCCCATAACTCTGAAGACATTGTTCTTAACCAGACCAGCAAGCAAAGGCATCTTCAGAACTGGATGACACGGGTTTTAGCACAGCAGAACTTCACTCACGAGCCTATTACAAACACCCTCCACCACCACGCTCAGACCACAGGGCCCAGGACTCCAGCCATACAACCACAGAACACTGCTTGGCTGCCACACGCAGCTCAGGATGCCGAGATGCTCACCATGCGCCGGCCTCTGATTAATTGTAACGCTCGTCTCTTAATGCAGAGAGAAAACAGCCGCAGCGCTGCGAAGCTGGATCAGGAGCAGCACCGACAGACCTCAAAGCAGACGAAGAAACGAAAGGCAGGGGTTGGTCTCTGGTTGCAGATCTGAAGGAAGGAGTTTCCTTTCCAGGCAGCTGCTGGAGGCCCGCACAGTACGCGTGCAGGATAAGGAAATGAGGGTATGTTCTTGCAGCCTGACTGTTTTGCAGGGCATTCAGGAAGCAAGCTGGTGAAAATCTGTTTATGATTATCTTTTTTGAGAGAGAGAGACCTTGAAGACAGATTAACTCTGTAAGAACCCTCTGAAAACACCTTCATACTCAAATACCAATTTTAAATATCCAAAGTATGACACTGGTGCACTTTTTAGAAATAACTACATACTTCAGAGGTGAAGTAGGAACAGAGTATTTCAGAAAACATTTAATATGAAATCTTTTGGAACTTCCATCGAATACAGATTTACATAATTTATCAGAACACTGTTTCAGTTCAGACAACAAAGTGCACTGCCAGGTGAAAAAAAATACATTTGGAGGAGTGCTTGAAGTGTAGGAAGTGAAAGGATAGGTGACTCTTCACCTGAGAAAGTACAACGACTGCCCTGAAATGTTTTATTGCTATTACAAAATGAAGTTTTTTGTGGAAAAAACCATACTGAGCAGCACAGGCACGGGCAGAGCACTGAAAGCCAACTGAACTCCGACCCAACACCGGGAGTTCCAAAGCCATGGCATGACACAGAATATACAGAGAATAAAATGCAAATCCAGGAATATTTACTACATTTAACAACTACGATCATCCTTTAAACTAGCATAGTCAATATCAATGCTCAGGGAAAGAGGGGAAGTCTGCTGCCTTCACAGACCGCGGGTCACAAGAACTGACTTGCAGAACACCACGGATTTTCACCTCGTGTCAGACCTGAACTGCGCACTATGAATAGCTATTAGCTCACTGCAAATTTAAAATGCAAATTTAGGCTCCAGTCTAAAGCACGCGTGAAGTACATGCTTAAGTGCTTCACCAAAATATAACCATAAAACATTAATACAAAAAGTCAAGTAGATAACGCAGGGTTTTATCTACAGAAGTCCTCGATGAAATGAACTGAGTATCAGCAGGAAACAACGCCTGAAGAAAGCTCCTGGTTCTGGTCTGCCAGCCCAAATCCAGCTCACCACAGTGGTGGTTAAGAAGCGGGGACCATCCGACAGCAGCTCGGTGTCCTACAGAAAGCTAGCTGGCCACCAGCGTCCATCGGGGCAGGTTCCACACTGCACGGCACAAGAGCAACAGCGGACTCCCTCCTCAGCAGAATCTGGAGACACAGCCGGCATGAAGCCAACAGCAACGTGCCCAGAGCCAAGCGGGAGCACGCTGAAAGAGAGCTGCAGGGAAACTTTCAGCTGCCACTACCTATGGCTGTAGTTAAGCAAGCTGGATGTTACAACAGGGGACATCAGCAGCCGAATTTGACTGTTGGGTTTCGATACTGTGCGCACTCAGAAAGCAAAGGAAAGCACTGCCGTGGCCGCAGCAATACTTCGGAGCAGCACAGACTCGTGTATGGCGACTCGCATCAGAACTATTTGAGAGTCCTTTTGTGCTATTATCAGTCTGACCTAGCCTAAGGTGGAGAAGTCTGAAAGAAGAAGCCACTGGTTAGCGCTCAGCACACCACACTGTTCTGCAGAGGGACTGCGGAGCAACGGAAGATTACTCTTAGCTGCAATCAAAACTCTTAAGCCAGAAGGATAAAGATACAGTTTTAGTAGTTTAGCAGAAGCAGAAGAATGGAAGCATTTACCCAAATTTTAATGCACAAATCAACTACATTTTTAAAATTTGATTCAGACTTAAATAATAAATAGGTGGGCAAAATATAATGCAAGACTTACTCGGTAGAAGTGAATTTTTAATAATTTCATGAGCTCTACTTAGAAAACAGGACTAATAATGTTCACAACCGTAAATCCAAACCCTTCACACCCTTTTTTTCCTTAACACAGCAGTGAATTGTAAACCTGCGTTTACTGGTTATCTCTTCAGTTATTTTAAATATTAACTCAAGTGTTTCCTCCTTGGCCATTTCAATTTTTAGCACCAAAATTAGCCCAAAAAGAGGTACTGGTACAGCTCCATGTGGTAAATGAATTGTTTACATATAATACTTTATATATTATACACACATACTGTACATTCACACGTCCACACAAACAGGAGGCATATTTAAATGAATATATTCTGTGTTTCAATTTGTTGTCAAAGACTTAGGAGCAATGGAAATAAAGCAGAAGGGGTAATATTTTACATAGTAGGCAACTTTAATGCTGTAGTGCACTTATAAAAAAGTCCAACTCTCCCTCCCAGCTCAGCAGCTTTGTTTTCTTTAATATCACTATTCAGAAGGATGCAGAAGTTATTGCCTAAATGTTATTCTATACATTTCCATCGGAATTCTCAAAACACTTGAAATTGCTAACTAATTTACAACTTAACTATTTTTCTCGTTACAGCTTTAACTCATTGGCAATTTTGGAAGCAATGTTTTTAAAAGCTATGGATGTTCCCGATATCCGCTTAAAGCGAACTCCGTTCAGGGACAGTCTTGGCAGTTTACACACCTCCATCTCCCACTGCACGAGGTTTTCCGCGTGCCCGTCTCCGTGGACGCAGAAAAGCAAGAAACGCTCTCTTTGTTCATAGTCACAATTATTGGCATCCAGGACCTTGCGGATTTCCCTCATCATGTCATTGGGATCCATGGAGCTGGTGGTTTTCATGCTCCACGTAAAACGCAGCGAGCGAGGCTTGGCTTCCTTGTTTTCGTCCTTCTGATCCACAGCTACATTGCGGCTGAAAGACAGCAAGGCATCAGTTAGCAGGGCGAGCCACTTCTCCAGGACAGGTGTCAGCAAAGCAAACTCACAGGCAACACACACTACGAGAGCAGTGCCTGGGGGCCCTGGCAGCGGGCAGCACCCCATCTCCCTCACTGCTGTGCAAACACACAGTAAAGATAAAGCGCCAGCCTTCGGTGCTGAAACAAAGGTAAGGCTCGATGGGAGAAACGACTGGAGGTCACTGCAATTGGGAGCGTGAGGGAAGTTACCTCACTGAGGAAAATCACACACATCAGCTGTGATTCGGTTTTAAGTCAAGTGTTGCTCCAAGTCCTACTCTTGAGTCAAGTGCCACCCAGTTCTGGGCTGGACAGCTTTCACGCTATGAGATGTTCACTACAGAACCACCATACTGTAGGACACTGGGGCTACCTTCAACAGGGAGGAAATATTCTGTCTTTAAGCTGGTCAGTAGTTTGTTTAGTATCAATCAAGTAATGTGATGGAGTCTTTTGCAGATAGAATCTATGCATGCAAGAGTCCTGGAAGCCAAAATGCAGGAAGGAGAGCTGGAAGTCACTATCAAACACAACTTAACATGGTTAGTAAGCAACCAGGGCAAGAGGGTTGCTATTACTGCCACAGTTCTAAAAGACAGCAAAAATATGCCTTTGTATTTCTCATTTCCCAAGTTTGCAAGGTTTTTTTTTTGTTTTTTTTTTTTTCTTTAAAGCTTTTCGCTTGGTAAGGAGAAATAAGGTTATAAAGGAGAATGGAAAAGAAATGATCCAGAAATTTCTGGTTCACAATAATGCCTCTTCTTCCATTAAAATCAGCAGTTGCAGAGCTAAAGAATAAGGAGCTACATTTAAACATTTAAGAAAAAATGGGACAGATTTCTGTTTGGAAAGTCTGCATGCATGGAAAGTCGTATCTTCAAATTTACTTGTCCCCAGGGCAAGTGACTTTAACATACTGACCACGATGCTTTCATATTTTCTGAAAACACATAACCTTGTTGATCCTAAACCACACAGTTCAGGCCTCGCATTGAACTTCAAAGCTCAGTTTACAGTTAAGTTAAGCTCTTCTTTACGATATTTGGCAGTGAATTTCTGCTTGCACAATGCTTGCTTCCCTCTCTGAGCATTAAGCAGGCAATTATGAAAAAGTTACATAAAAAAACAAGGTCAAAAAAAACTATTGCAAAGATAACCTGTTTCATAATTTTATGTTCTATTATATTCTATTATAAAGACTCCCAGTAACTGCAAGAATAAAAGGATTATGCTGTCAAATCCAGCTATATGGTTTCTCAGATGCTACATGCTCTTTGATTGCTGATGTATCATGTCTTAACTGTCAGGTTTTAATTTAATGCAGCTGCAGGAGCTGGCAAAAGGGACAGGAGGAGTAACACCAACTTTTATTCAATGCTGATTTTAGAAAGCCTTTTCTACTTGAAATGGTTGGCAGAACAAATACAAATCCAATAATTTCTAGTATTTTTAACACAAAGATTTGAGGAAGAGTTTAATATGGAAAATATTTGTGATTTTGGAGACAAAAATATATCTTAACACCCTTCAGTGGTTATCCCACACATGTGCAGTCTCACTAGACACCACTTACCTACGGATCTACAAGACAACAGCAAATCATAAATACTAAAATGCAAAAAACAGACGAGGGAGAAGGCAACAGGAAAGATGAAGGTTTAGAAACAAGCCAGTCAGTGCTTTAATAGCTGTTCTGCAGACAAAAACGCTTCTTTGTTTAGTTTCAAAGCCTTGAACAAAACAAAAGCTGCTGCCTGAAGCCACTGTGCCACATAATCAAGGGAAGAAAGGTTCAAACTCACCTAAATAACATTTGAAATAAAAATTTTACCCTCACCTTGAGCCCTCAAATCTCCCGTTCCTCTCATATTCAGTCGGGAGCCTCATTGAAAAGAACGCAGAAGCAAAAGGAAGTGGGAAAGAGAAGACAAATCTTACACTACAATATACAATATCTGAGCAGTTGCTAAAAGACACTGTAATCATACCAAAGTCGTGTTAAAATACAAAGCAACAAAGATGTAATGAACTTTCTAGATTAGAACGAGTTCAGAATATAGCATCTTACCAAAGTCTATTAGCTATAGTTTTTAAAAGACCCTTAGCTATTTTTGACATCGTGTGCTTACATATTTACACTGTAGAATTCATTAAAGTTGAATGTCTGAAGTGGAAAATGTCAAATTAAAATTAAGTTATCATTTAATAACTAAGTCCTAATTATTTCAAGGTGTTTTTGTTTTGTTTTGTTTTAAAAAAAGTCATCTGGGAATGGAAGAGTACATTTGAAAAGCAAATTGTTTAGGAACTAGTCCAGACAAACTGTGTTTGCACACACACCAAATCTGAAAAATTGGATATTTAAACAACACCAAGCCATCTAAAGCAAATGATCAACACACATATACATTTTAACCAAAATTTAGAGGTAAATCCAAGATTTCCCATGCTGTGCTATTAATTCTCACACTGACGCATCTTCCATAGCCAAAGCAAGTTAAGCTTCCTATCCTTTTGCACTGCTTAAGGCTACATTGCTGATTGCTAATATCCCAACATCAGGCAGAATTAAGAGGAAAGTCATCTTTCTTTACCTTCCCATTACTGCAGTACCATGGCTCCACATTATATTTATGTTAGATTGTGTGAGGTGATATAAGGCTTAATTTCCTCATTTTTTTCTTCTGAGGGGTTGGGATGAGGAAACAGGGGTCTTTGAGATCAGTGGAAACAGATAATCCTTGGTCTGTGCAGACTTGTCACAATGGAACATTACAAGAGTACCATGAAGAGCAAAATGACAGCACTTATTGTGCAGCACGAGGAGGACATGGACCTGAAAATCAATGCTGCAATGTAAGTATAGGTAAGAAGATGCTGGGTACTCATCACATTGCTCACCATAAGAACATCCAGCAAGAGCCCTGTACAACAAGGTCCTGCACAGCACAATGTAAGATGGGAACTCTGGTAGGAGACTAATGGACTAATAAAAAGCTGTAACAAGCAAAGATGATAACGAAGATGATGAGAGCACAACTGGCAAGTTCTCACCCAATTCTAGCACTTCAAAGTGTGCTTTACTGGTAGCTATTTTCATCGTAATTTTATATTCAACCTTCTCAAGGGGAAAAATTTCCACTTGTTCCTCTCAGTCACACAGGAGGGCAGCTGACCCAAAGGCTACAGCCCTGCCAATGTTCTTGAGTAGACTGACTGCAGCCCATACTTATTTTCCATTTCTGAAACTCACATTAAGTTTAAGACATCAATAGCGCTGATGAACTTCTAGGCAGATAAAAATCAAGTGCTACTCTACTACGATGAACATTGGAGAAGGTAGATACAATTCACAAACCCAAGCTTTACAACAATACTCTAAGACTGGAATGGAAAAAGGCTGGAAGAGAGAACCCCTATACCAGCAGAACACAGCTACTCCTTTCATATGTGGGAGAGATCTGCGACAGGCTTGTTTTTACTGAGGAAGGCAAACAAGCGTGAATACACTGCTCAACTGAGAAATTAAAGAGTATTTGAGCTTTAAAAGAGACTGCTGTGCTCCTAGAAAGTAAAAACTCATTAAGAGCTGCAAGCATTTAGAGATAATTTTACTTCCATTTTTTAATTTTCACGTTAAACTTGCCAAAGGTTGTAGAAAATGGGAGGGTAACCAGTATTCCCAACAGTGAACACTCTTACTGTTAATGGAACCCACCCAGAAAAGTTTGAGGAAAAATCCCTGTCTTTTTATGTTCTCAGACCTTTCTAGACTGAACTGTGCAGGTTCTGTAGTTTCAGAATCAAAAATAACAAAATACACACCACCTTGAAATGACAAACTCTACTTCCTTGAAACCTGTTTGGAAATCCTTACGTTATTATGTTGTTCCATGCTCCAGTCTCCATCCATTCAGCACCAAGAACTGCACTCAGTGACTTATGCTCTCAACTATGAAATGCCAAGCCAAGATGGGGAGAGCTGTGCCAGTCTCTCCAGACGCCCATTCCTTCACGAAGGAAACTGTTACAGTTGAGTTCTACAGCACAGCACTCGCACACTGGGAACATTAACTTACTGTACTGCCAGTATTGTTTGGGTAGCTCTGCAATTCCGATGCAGCCCCTTAGGCCTTCTCACTGCTGACACAAACGCCACTTCTGTGGGAACCACATATTGGTGGTTTGTGTTCAAAGTCTTCTGCTTTTGCTTGTGTTTTTACAGAAGGTAGTTTTATGGGCCAAGATGATCCTTGGTCTTCAGAATGGAACGAATATATTAAAAAAAAGTAGGCTCTCATTTGTCGGGCAATGCCTACACACAACCTCCTTTTTTTTTTTTCTTCCTCTTACACAGTTTGTGAACTGATTAATAAAGTAAGGCTATTTCCATGTATCTGTCCTAAGTCATACTGCTTTCTGTTCTTTACATCTTTGTACATTCTTTGTTAGAAATTCAGCTAAACAGAAAATTATCTAAAAAGATACTGAAAAACAGCAAAGAGGGCAAGACTAAAACAGGAATTTATGGAAATAAAGAATAGATGCTACATTCAAATTCAGAATACAGAAAGTGATTTCTGCTGTCAGAAAAAAAGCTAGTTTTCCATGATACAGATGTGCAAGCATAGTGCATGGTGTAAGACAAATACACACATACACACAAATATATACACACACATATATATAGTAGGTCCATGTAGTAGGCACAATATTAGGAGTAATTTTGAAAAAAGTGTAACTAAGAATCTGCTTTTGTTCAGAAGGGTGGAACTAGCTGACCTTTAAGAACCCTTCCAACCCCATCTATTCTAGGATTCCTCGACAGTGACACTGCAGTAATGCATGCACGTGGCTTACAGTAGCTCTTCCAGTACCAAAGAAAGTGAATTTAGGTAAGACTCACAGCATATGAAGTGAGAAGAAACTACCAAAAATATAACATTTTGAATTTAATACATCAGGTGCTGAGGAATAGGATGCACGTGTGAAACAATTTAAAAAGCACAGTCTGGTCCTGCATAGGTGGTGTAAGACTCTGCAAATCTCTTATCCAAAAGAAATATTCAATAAAATCTGCAGCAATTATTTCCACTACAGTCTAAAATTCCTGGCCAGCAGTCAAAGGAACTTTTAAAAAAAATAATTAAAGTTACTTTTTTAAAGTCTCAAAGATGACGACTGGCCTTCTAGCTTCAATCTGAACTTCCACTAGCACTTTTCGTTTTAGTTCCGAGCAACTGAATGCCGAGCTTACAAGCATTCAGTTGTGGAGGTTACACAGACCACAATCCTTTGTTTAAAAATGAATGTGACTACAGAGACAAAAGCTCCTTTTATAAAGTGGTATGTGCTCCATCGCTTGTTACGCACGGTGAGCGAGAACTATTGCCTCTGTTTAGTCTCATTTGTATACCATACTGGATGGTTCCTTTCCGTAGCTACCAGTCTGTGCATGTTCCTCTTCTCAAGAAAGCTGTGACGGTGTTAGCCGATCCAATAGCATCAGTTCTAAACACAGTCATGTTTGGAAGTGCCCTGATAATTATTAAAGCGGAATGGAATTTACTCGGTGAGGCAGGGATAAACCTTTAGACGATGTATAGAATAAGCCCAAACTTAAGTAGCTGTTAACATAGCTGAGGTCTCCTTATTCGAAGCACCTCCTTGAAATGGTCTGACTAATTTCAAATTGCAGAAACATGCGTAGCCTCGTAGTTTGGAAGTTAAAACAGATGACACTTTTGGTCAACTGTCAGAAAACGGAAGAAATATTCTTTAAGGAACTCCAAAGCACAATACTGAATATCACAAGATTCTACTGGAAAAATCTGTACGTGGATCAAATTTGTATTGCCAACGTTAGCAACTTCGTAATGGACTTAAAATACATACAGAATTCCCAAATTGTAAGCCTAAATTCAATCCTTTGGACTCAAAATGTAACACTTTTCAGCTTTTTCCCTTAGTTAAAAAATTAACGTAGACGTTACAGTTTATTCGTAACTCAAGTGCTCTGTTTGCAGGTCAGCTGCAATTCACTTCAGCTAAGGCATCCCATCTTAAAACAAAAATGCAAACATTTCACCTTCTTTCAATCTTCCACACAAAACAAGCTGCTGGATTCGCAGCCACGTTCAGTTTGCTTTCTCCTGTATCCGCTACAGACAACACATCACAGTGACAATTTAAATACCACAGAGCAGAGAATGTCAATTTCCCTTCACTTACCTTTATTTGCTTGTAACCTTATGTTTTGAAACTTTTATCACTGTTATCAAACACCTCATTTTTCAAACATAAGCATGCTAAGTGTATTAGTACATAGAACAGAATTACTTTGGTGCTACCAACTCTATCAAAGAAAGAAGAATTCATAAGGCATGCTTAGCATCTTGTTATTCAGGTGCTGCAGACTCTTAGATATCATCACGAGTTAATGCATTGATTTATGCTTTCCTCTCAAGAAAGACAGTATTTAGTTCTCAGCAGAAAGTTTAGTTGTCAGAAAACCGAGGCTAGAAAGCCAAATCTGTTGTTAATTGCAGGAGCCACTTTTTTAAATATAAATAAATCCTACCTTTTGATAAACCTGAATGACATGTTTCTAAAAGAAATTAAGCCAAAATAATAATTAACAAAGTTTTGTACAAAGTAAACTGAAAAATCCATTTAGAGTGAAACATGCAACAGACCTCATTTAAATGCACAAAGAAATTACACTTCAATACATTCTGAGATTAGGCACATGACTTAAGGTCTGAAAAACTTTGTTTTTTTTTTTAAAGCATTAATGTTTCCAAACTTACTTGTTTCCTGCGAAATGCACTGCCAGCAGTTACTATGAGTTACTATAGCAGTTATGAGCATATACACTAGTCTTGAAAACCAAAAATATGCAAGGTCACATAAAAAGATGTTTCTATTTAAAAGGAGTTTAAATAGTAAGCAAAAACTGCAACTCCAACTATTAGCAGACCTTCAGAGCTAGGTTTCTTCCTCCCTTCATAATGCTGCCCCCATACTGTGCTAAAAACTGCCTCAAATATTTGGCTAACTTAATGACAAAATCTGAAGCTAGTGCCTACATCAGGACACAAGCAGTTAATTATCAAAAGGATTCTGATCTCCTACAGAGGAAACAAGAATGAAAAAGCACACTTTAATGTATTTATTTCTATTTAAAGAGAAGAAACAACTGTGTTCTTTGATGGCACTGTCTTCTTCCTAGTAGTTTGTACCTAGCATAGCAACACCAACTGCAAGAGGTCCTCCAAGTGCGCATGTAATCACCCGTAGCAGGGCTATTGTGTTAAAAATGCTTGTTATTTAATCAAGTCCAAATGGAATTCCAACTATTGTGTAAAGCACTTGGGGAAGAACTTCTTAAAGCAAACTGCACTGCAAAAGTTGAAAATGGAGGTAATGATAGAAGTTGGACTGCTGTCTGAACAAGTGAGCGTCACACTGAATGAAAAATAGTATGTTGCAGCAGCACAAGTAAGAAGCTTTACATGTTCACAGTTTGAGTGTCCACATTTGGAATGTCAGAATGGAAAATTTAGAGTATAACAAACAAAAGTACAGAACAATGTGCCAAAAAGATGCGTCTGATTTAAAACCTCACTTGACAAAAAGCAGAAGACTTTATATTAAAAAAGTAAAAATCAAGTTCATCTTTAATCTCTAAAGAGAAAAAGAAAGGAACTTTTCACAGCACACAGTCTCCCAGAGAAGCATTAGCTAAGAGTGCTGGGCAGGGTAAAACATTTACCAAAAGGCAAGGCTGTTCTGTTCAGATTTTTCCACGTGTTTATTTATTTATTTAAAGAAAATTCATTCCTTAAATTGTAATCAGCCAGTTGTGAAAAACTGGAGTTTGGCTGAACGTTATTTTGTATAGAAAACTATGAAGAAGTTACTGGGGAGCAGACACGTACAGTCCCACAACAGGAGGGAAATGGTTCAACACCATTGCCATAGACCTAAAATAAAAGCAAGCGTGCGAAGATTAGAATGATATATTCTACAAAATTTCATGAGATGAGGAGGGTACAGAAGCATTGAGATCACCTTAAAACAAAAGTAAAGAAATCCTCACTTCTGCAAACACAAGTGGCGTGGTACCTGAGTGGTCTGAAGTAGGTAATATACGAATCCACAGGTTTTAAATGCTTAAGGAAAACACATGATATTTTCTCCCCTCCTACTCCAGTTCTAGCATTTGTGGGAGCTAATTTCAATCCTACACCTGTTTGAAACTAGGAGTCCAATTAGAACAAAAACAGTCAGTACAGGAACAAGCACCTGCTTACGCCAGGCTTTGGCTGCAGTAGCACATCGTCACACCAACACCAGAATCTGCATGAGCTAAGTGGTGAGACAGGATTAAAGCTTTCAGGCCTAGCAGACTACTGCCTAGACAGAAACTGCAGTACTGCCATTGCTTTAGAATGACCTGTGCTAGCACTGCTGCCAAAATCAACTGTTCTTTTCTGCCTCTACCCTTTCACCTGTGATATTTCTACCTGTGTGGAAACAGCCAAAGAGAGAAGGACCCTGAGCTCCTAACACTGCATTAAATATCAGGACTGATATTCTAGTTTGTGCCTTCTATTGAGAGATCATGCACAGTGAGCAGCTTTTGAACTGAGCTGCAACGTTTCAGCTCTGCAGCACTGGTGCCGCAGACACGAAAGCAGTGAGCCCAGAATAATCAGCACAGATCGAGCCTGCGTCAGTTTTTATTCCCAGTTGATTCAATTGCTAAAAACAAATGGCTTTCTGCACTGAAAAGGACTATGAAAAAAATACACCATCACCAGATGCATTTTAAGTTGCAGACGTAGTTATATTATTGACCAGCAACTGCAGACAAAGCCTCCTACATAATGAACTTCTAAATGTTTCCATTCTCTGACAATAAGAAAACGTTCCTGTGTAGCATCACCATTTTAAAAGACGTACCTTCTTGTGAGTTTTGAAGTCAGTTTGCTGAACAGGTTAGTGGAACCCCTGGTTCGAGTCTGAGAGAGCGGCGTTGCCTCGTGGGACAGGCTGGGGGAGGCCGGGGGCCCGTTGTAGGTAGCGGTGCGTCGCTCACGGAGCTGGCCGTGGAAGGTGCTCCGACTGGCCGTTCCTCTGGGGAAACGAATACGGTCAGGTGTGGTTGCACTGCTTATGCTGTGAGTTGAAGCGACAGGCGTTCTTTGATCGGGAATAGTGCTAGAGCAGAAAACAAAAAAAACCACGCTAGGACTTCTTCACGGAAGCACGACGGTTTTTGCAGGAAACACAAAACACTACGTTCTATGGTAAAAGCATAAGCAGACACTTCTATATTGGCCAGGGTTGGAAATATCAGCACTATTACAGCACTGTATGGAATCAAAATTCATAAGTTAGGATTAAAAGGCTGCTGAAACAGAAACCTACGTAGGCAGAAAAACACAACATAAGTATCCTGGAGAAGACCAGATAAACTAGGCATTCAGTGTTTCACTGAGAGGACTGATAAAAGAATAGATGAGTAAAGTTTCCTTCCAGGAAAAAGAAGCAATAGATAACTGCAGTATCGCTCCCTTCATATTCTGTACATCTTCCAAAAACTCGCTTATTTGAAAATGTCCTACAGGAAATTCTCTACAAGCGAACGGCTCCAAGCAGTGAAGTCCTTCTGAGTACAGATTACAGTCTCCCACAAACATTGACAATAGGGAATGTCCAATATGCCTAACACTAAAATAATTAGCATTTATTATTGCAGGATTATGTCACAGACAGCCTGACACACCACAAGACAAATGTAAACAAGACTAAAAATAAGGAAACACACATCTTGTGGGCAATATATACTAGAACACTCTAGGACTAAAATTCCACAGCACAAAGTTAAGAAGCAGTGGGTATAAGTTAGTTTCACAATGATTTCAGGTTCTTACATAGGCCTGAAGTTATCTGCGCCATTGTCTATTGGAGGCAACATCATCTTCGTGTGCACAGAGGCTGACATGGACATCGACTTCTGATGTCGCAGCCGAACACTGGAGAAGGATGTAGTACAAACTGAAGCAGGGCTAGCTGCGTAAGCGAACATTTCTGTCAGGCTGTGAGGGGGTTTGGGTTCAGGCAGAGGCAGAAAGAAGAACGTGATGGACCAACAACAAACTACTGCATAGAAAAAAGCAAACTTTTCCTTCTATTAACCAATCTGTGAAAAGAACATGAACTCTAATGACCCTCTTCTATGTAAACAACAGTAACTGTCCTATGTTCCTCTTAAATCACATCCTTATTATACAGAGCACTCGACATCTCTATTAAGTAATAGTTCTTACCAGTAGCATTAGGTAGTGATGACACCCTCCCACACTGCAGTGAAATACCCGTTTCCAGAAATTATCCATGTTTACAGAAATCAATGCAAGTTGGACACACATTCAAATCTTGACCTACCTAATAACCAAGGAAACTTCATGGCAAAAAAGAAACAGTATCATGACATTAAGCAAGTCCACAGAGATCCAAACAAAAAAGCTACTATTCATCAGCTGGCACATATAAGAAGAAAAGAGTAATGCTTAGTGTTCTCTGAAAGAAAAGGTGTGACTACTAGAGAGCGCCTCATATTGCCTGGCTGTGAGCATCAAGCTCTTCAAGTAACCATTCAGGATTTGAAGGAGGCTATAGAGCTGACCAGTCATCTATCAGCCATATAGTATGTTGAAATATAAAGATTTAATCTTCCTTTGGGCTGAAACATTCTTCTCAGCCTTTGTATTATCTAGTAACAATGGGAATGGGAGAAATCTGAGAGGCACATTATATATTGGACCTTCAGGGCTACTGCACCATAAATCATATAGCTTACATTTGCTTTTGGAGTATGTCAATTGTAATTCCAAAATTATGTTGGAGGTTAAGAAATCAGTAATTGTCAGTGACAGCTTCATGACACTGCATGCTCGTTTCCAAGTGACTTCACTGCTTTATATACTGAAATTCATGTCCTGTTATCTCATTCTGGTATGTCTGGCTTTGGAGAAGATAACGTTAAGTTCAGCTACAAGTATAAGATAACCCATTTATTGGGCTTAGCTCTCAAAGTTCTACTGGAAAATGCCGTAGAATTCAGACATCAGAGCTCGCTAAAACAGCAAAATTTACTGCTTTGTTGAGTCTGGAAAAGTTAAAACAGAAGAGGAATTTCACCTGAGTCATGTATGCATCTCTTTGCACTGCTGAATCTTGTAAGATGCCAACTACAGTCTGCTAAAACCAACCTTGCAAAACAGTCCAGCTTTTACATTACACCAGAATATTAAGAAATTCTTAGGAAATGAGCATTCATCCCAAAACAATACACAAAACTGAAGTAATCCCCAAATGTGGTCACGAAGCACTCGAGCACTGCACCGCTCTACCTACTTTCCTCCTGCTCTGTTGTAAACAATGAAGGAGAAAGAATCTTTGCAACATGAGACTCGAGTTTTATTTAGCCTCATAGTTTTAGTCATCTGCCTCCAAATAAGTGGTAACTAAAGGTATCAATCAGGTACCAGAGCACAAACTAAATCATGAGAATTCTTCATCAGAAGCTATGTTGGAAATCAGCTTCCCTGGATTACCAGCCTGGGAACATAGAAACAGCAAGCTAAAGTTCATCAATTAGTGCCAAGGCTTATTAAAATCTGAGGCTGTTGTAAAAGAAATTGCCTATCATTATGAAGAGTGTTTCACGAGTCCCTAAGTGCATTAATTAATGCTTAGGGCTTTGGAGCAGAGCCAGAGTCATCTCCATCAGAATGCCTGTGTCAGCCACACAGTGTGTGGAAGTAGGGATGTGAGATTTGAAAACTCTTTTCTATCAATCTGGCTTGAGGTCTTCAAGCCTGTTTTCTTGAACATGAAATCCACTGACTATTGATTCTTGAAAGCTACCATGCTTTCAAAACAGTGCCTCCTAAGGATTATTCAACATCTAAGATAAAAACAGAACAGCTAACACTATTATTTTCACTACAGAAAGAAGAGAGAATTTAAATCTGTGCATCTTGCATTTTAAAGGAAATCTCCCAAGTCTTCACCAGGTCACAGTCAATATCTGCCTGGCTACAGAAAATCCAAAATCCAATCTGAAACAAATCATTTAAAGTAACTACTCTTGCCTTTACTCCACAAACAGACATTTTGAAAGCACAGATATTTTTTTTTTGTTAACAAAAGGATTTTGACAAAGCATAGGTCCTACTTCAGATATAACTTGAGAAGGAAGAAAAAACATTACAAGTTTCTGAAGTTACTTTTTGCCAAGCTGATACAACAATGATATTAGAGATATAACAACAACACACCTGAAGAAAGGCAGAATTCATTCTGAAGAGCCAGTCTCATCAGTAACCATGCTTGTTTAACCTGCATTAAAGGTCTGCATTCCATGCTATCAGCCAAGCCTTTACCCAGTTAAAGCAACAAATGTCAGACTTAGCTCTGTAAATCTCCACAAAAACTCAGAAACTGAGTCAAAATTAATGTGCGCTTCAACACCAAAGCATTTCAGACAATGAGAAGTCTCTGGTTCTAAAACAATTAGCAGTTCACTCTCACGCTCTTATCTTGTTTAACCCTATATGAAGAGTCGAGGAGGTAGTAAGCAAAAATACTTGATAAAACCTGTGATGACCTTTTTCCCAACAGTCAAAACATAAATGCTCAGACACACCAAGCGATCCAAACAGAGGTGAAGTTTGCAGGAGAAGCAAATGATGTTTTTAAGCCATTTTTTACTGTCAGTACAGTATATAAGTTACATAAGGATGACCAAGTATGGAAAGAAAACAGAATTAAAAGAGATGTCAAATATACAATGTCAACTCTGAAGTTAAAACCATTACATGACAAATTAGAAAGACAATTTGCTGAGAAAGTCAAAGCTAGAGAAAAAAAAGCATCTCCAATAGACAACTCCTTAACATTATAAAGTCACTCTTAAATTAAGGCGATACCTGAGTTTCAAGCATTCCTGGTAAATAATTACTCATAAGAATCATAAAGAATTTTTTGACAAAATATTGTAAAGATATCAGTTTAAAGATGAATAAAAATGTTATTAACAAACCAAGAAATCAAGTAATCAAAACTAATCAAAGCTATCCTGGACAGCAAGATTTATTTTCAAAGTGAGTTGGGAAAGAAAAAAAAAACATTTCAAATGAAATGAAGGATGGTGAACTTCAATCTAAACGAACTCGGTAACGTTAACAAGGACTAACAGATGAGACAGACACACTAAGAGACAGTACCAAATAGCTGGGCTGTACTTCACAAGACAGTTGACTGTAGGCCCAGCTGGCCAGCTAGACTTTTGGCTCTCTTGAAACTTACACTTGACTTTTTCCTTACTCACTTTCAGTTTGCAGAAAGCTAGGAGGAAGAGACAGGGTCAATGTCATGTTCTTTACCCTAGGCTACATGGGTCAAACACGAGACGGACAGATTCTGCATTCAACATCACAACTTCACCACTCTCCCTAATATGCTTTCAAAAGAAAAGGGAGAAATTCTGTGCGAAAAACTGCAAATCTTTCACCAACTTTAACATGAGCTAGAAGAAAAAAAACCTGTTTTCTCCCTATATTTCATAATGTATCCTAAAACCGGAAAGAGATAGGGAAAAAACTGGTAAGAGTAGGGGAAATGTTATACGCTCCTCCAAGCTTAAGCATTTTTGTTGGTTACTAGCAATCTCAGTGTTCTCCTGGCAACAATCAACTACTAAATTGTTACCACCTTTCAAGACTAGCAAAATTCTGTGAAGAACAGTTGGCTGGAACTTAAAAACACTTCTGCCAGCCAGGAAATCTAGTAGTATTCTTCATAAGTGTTACTCTGCAGTTTATGTTCACAGATACTTATTTCCTGCAACTCTCTACCGTCATCAATACTCAGGAAAGGACAGCACGAGACGTGGCTGTGGTGCTGACACGTGAGTTAGGTGACTCCAATTACATTGCATATTCCAGTTAGGCTTCCAGTAAAGTAATGGTAAGCCTGTTTTCACTCAAAGTATGGAGATGTCTGTGCTTCCCTTTTTGAAGATGAATTCCGTAAATACTGGGAAGCAATGAGACTACAAGGATATTGGCACTGAATATTATCAGTCCAAGACAATGGCCTGCCACTGTTTTCATCTTTGCTTAGAGAAAATTGAATATATCCCTATAATCTTACAGAGGAAAAAGATATTCCAAACAATCACACCTGCAAGTGCAGTTTAGAATGAAATATAAAAACAGAATGGTTCAAGAGAGATATACTTTTATAGTTTGCAAGTAAATAAGCGTCTTCTGCAAGCTGATGATATTTAACCACAGGAGTTGACCACCAATTCAAGAAGAAAGCTGCACAAATATGAAACATATTTAACTGGACATTGCGATCATTCTGTGCATAAAGACAATAAGTATTAAGCATAAGGAAAAACAAACACACAGGTATTCCACAACCAAAGATCTGTACTCACCTTTCTTTATGAATTACACTACAGTATTACTGATTTTTAAATTAGGCATTACATTTTTGGGGGGGAAATGTGAAGACAAGGGACGTACACCATAGGAAGACATTTCATATACCTGTTCTCCTTGCCATTTTGTATCACTGAATGCCTATCAGCAGTGGTTCTTTCGCTACAAACATAAGTGTTGCGCCGTGTCATTGCTCCAGGGGCAGTATTATTCTACAATTGAAAAAAACATAGGCTTGTTACTCCCCACAAAAAGACTTTTCTGGGATTAAGGCTATATATACTTGAAGGCTGTTTTATGTAATGCTACTTCTACACACTTCTAACACAATAATTCAGTAAGTTAACTAGTTAATAGACAAACATATCCAAGTATTTTTAAAGAATAATGCAATTTAAAAAACCAGTTCTTGTATTTCATGTTGATGTCTCAAAATTAATATACCATTTAAATTACCAGTGTTCTGAAATCCAAATTTTCAGCATGTATATAATTCATAACAATAATTCATAATAATTCATACTAGAGAGAGTACTACATTATAGCCTATTTTTGAGGTACTTTACCATTTGGATAATGTACATTTCCCTTTAAGTTAAAAATAATATCCTTAGACAAGATTGGAAAAGCAAAGATTTAAGAAACAGGCATGGAAAAATTCAGTGGGAAGGTAAACATGGACTTCCAAATATTCAAATAGTATAGAACACTAGACAAGTTTTGAAAAACAGGGAAGAGCAAGTCAAATTAAAGAGACAAATCGTAGAGAATTTTAGTAAGACATATTAAAAAATACACATATGAATACAAGCATAATACATTGAGGACAAGAAAACCAGGGGAACTTAAGCTACAGACCTTATTTTAGAGGGGAGAAAAGAAATAGAATTACTTTGCCTCTGTCTTTACAGAGAAAGAGGGTGGAGATATGCCCAAGTTGGCGGTCAATTTTCCAGGAACGACTGAGAAGCTAGGTAATTCACAGATAACAGAATTATAAAATGTTAGATGCAATTTCTTTAGGAAAAGCATGGTGGTCCAGAAAACATGCACCCCAGGTTGTAGAGGAAGTACAAGCTGGCAAGCCTTATAGCTTTTCCCCACCCCAAGAACAGAACATAACACAAACTGCATATGATTGGAAAATAGAAATAAACCTTTCAAAATTTTTCTTTAAAGAAAAGGATCACAGGGTAAAGCAGGAAGCAAAATACACTATTGACTTTAAATGTCACTGCTGGGGAATATCTTGGAGGCTAGCTTAAGGGAATGACTAGTCAGCGCCTGGATAAGCACGTGTTGAGTAAGGATGGCCACCAAGAGTCAGGCAGGGGGACTTCATGCTCAACTAACCTTTTGGAGTTCTTGAAGAATTACAGCTATGATAGGCAAGGGAAATTCAGCGGACTTTTAAAATAGCATTAAGAAAACATGTCATGAGCTGGTCACAGTAGAGCATCACAGGAAGAATGGTGAAAAAAGAAACTGAGGGAAAGGTAGTTTGAGCACAAAAGGAGAGGAGCCAAACCTTTTTTGTTTCCAAGCCTGAAATAAAACTGTTAAGTAAAATACTCTCAAGCAAATGCTCTTCCAGTGCTTTCTACACAAATGGCTTTTGCTGCTTTAAGGAAAAAAATACTGGCTCATACAGTCAGTGAGTCTCAAACAGCACAATTCCTGAGTTGCAGATTTAACAATGAAATCATCTTGTCAACTTAAAAGACAAGTGACTCGTTAGACATCTGTGTGAATGTACCAATAAAAACGTAGGGCTGAACCGTGCAATCACTTGGCATGAAAATGTAAGAAGACAAAGACTATTTCAGATGAGCAGAAAGAGCTAGTAAAAGTCATCATACGTATTTAGTTGTTTTTTGGGTTTTGAAGTGTTCTTCACCAGGCATTCCTTAGGGATAGGCACATGCCAATCATTAGAAGTCCTCCTCCTATTGCTGGTGCTTCCCTTTATATTATTCCTTACATGTCCCTCATCTTTTTCTTTGTAAAATATTGATTCTTAAACTTTGTGCAGTCACAGATGTGGGAAGAAACTCCTCCCTTCTTCATTAAACTAGCCAGCAATGAAGGCTGTACACCTACCATGAAGTTCCATTTGCATGTTCACAAGGAAACAGAGCGCAAGTCACTTTGTGCGGCCCCCACCAAGCTATGGTACATTCAATTACTGCACATTATTTGCATATTGTTGTTTCTGCATTCCTGAAGATATTAAAGGAAGCACCAAGAATAGCTGATGCTTTCAGGTGGGAATTGTGCACAATAATGGATAGCTTCCTTCTATCTACCTGCTGCCTTAGAACATTAAATCTTGATTCCCTTGAGAAGACATCACCGCACATTTTAACATTACATGACGTTGCACATGTGGAAGGTCACAGAAGTCATCTGTACTGGATCAAACCTTAAAGAAATGCATTTTGAAGTTTCAGAGTGGGCATTTTAAGTTTCGGTTTTCATAACTGAAATTACAGAGATCTAAAAAAGCACTCAGATTACAAAGGTCCTGACAGAATACCGGAACATTCTGAGCTTCCACATTTCCGTTTCAGCAAGAATGCAGTCCTGGTATGGGTGCCATTACCCTTTCTGGCATACAGCCTTTTATGATTTGATCTAGGGAGTTCTTCAGCTACGATTTTTTTGTTCAGTCAGGCTGTATATTGCTGTTCTCTGCACACAATTAAATAGCACAGGTGCACGGCACAGGACATCTGAAATTAGTGTCAACAGCATCACACTGATAGACTGATGAGACAGAATTGAGCTAAGTTCATCCTGACAGCACTGGGTGCCTTCTTTTCAGGTGATGCAAAGTGCATTTTGAGGCTTCTGAGCATATACACGAGGTCCCATACGTAGCATAAAAGATGCATTTGTGGTACAGAGTCGTCCTCTTTTCACATAGCAAGTTTTGTGCCCACTGTTTAGATGGGTAATTTTCACATTAGGAGACAGCAAGGCGAGGACTGATGAAAAATTTTCCAAGAATCAGCTTCTGACTATCAACAATGAACCAACCTATTTACCAATCTGTTTTGGCAGTGGGTTTTTGTTTTTTATTTTTTTATTTTTATTTTTTGGTTCTAAATAATTTTCCAAACATGCCATGCATTCTCCTTCCACTTTTCTAAAAGCTACACCAAGGGTTCTGGGGCAGCCTTATGAGGAAAAACCCAAAGCTGTGAGTAGTAATCAAGGAATTATTAGCTGCTGCTAACTATGCATCCTCTGTAGCAGGTCTTTGTTATTAATTTGGTATTTCCCTAATGAGCCTGAAGCTTACTGATGCACACTCCCTCAGTTTGCAGAACTATTTAGTTTGCAAGAGTTCCATGCTTTTTCAACTTCAGAAGAAGAGCTTGGAGTCCTAACTTCAACACCAGACTTGGTTACCTGCTATAAGAGAGTAACTCTTCTCCTTAAGTGCATACTTGTAAATTTTGTTATTAAATGAGAAGTACAAACTGCCTAAAGATCTTAATTCAAAACAGAACATGAGTCTCCAGCAAAGACCAGTTCTACTACTTCTGCTGTATCTGTGAAAGCAGTAATTATTTTTAAAGACAGTATTTTTCTGTCTGTTCAGTAATTTTCTCACCACATTACTGATTTTAGGACTTAAACGCTCTGCAAGAACATAAACTCCTTCCGCCTCAAATTTCTTTTCTTTTTCCTACTTCAAGACAATACGGAAGCTCTAAAATCCTTTCCACTCATCTCCCCCCCTTCTTTTAGACACTTATCAATGCTACAAGAAATAATCAGTTCCTGGAACTGTGAAAAAGGACTTAGTGCTCCCCTCTATCCTCAGTAGCCAGAAAGCAAAAGACTGAGCTCTAGCTGGAAAATAAAAATAAGATTTTGCACAGTCTGACATAAAGCACTGTAAGTACAGGGACAATTTTAAACTGACATCACAAGTCGGGTTACATGTTCATTTTGTAGCACTGCTCATAAAAGATCAGAGTTGGAATTACACACTAAATCAGAAGAGATAATATCCTATTGCTGTGAGCTCATTTTGCTGCCGTTGCAGCAGTGGAAATTTGGGAGTGGTGCAGCAGAATAGATAAAATACTGAAGATGCCAAGTGAAAAACATAAATAATAGAATATATATACATTGAATGTTACAGAGCTCAGGAAATGCTACTTGAAATGAGATTTCCAATTTTGCTTCACAGGGAGGCACCAGACTATACAAAACTAAAAAACTAAAACCAAACTAAAACAAAACTTAAATCAACAAGAATTTTCCTAAACTTTTTTTCCTTTTTACTGTCTATTACTTGAGACCCCATAAATTCATGCATCTTTTGTTTTCTTGCTGTTGGAGGAAAGCCCACATTGACAAAGGCTTTTAAGCATTTAAGGCTTTTAATATTGAAATTGACCTCTGAACACTTTTTTTTAGAGCTGCCTCAATCTGGAAATCCCACTACCTGTAACTATGACTTGGAACAGCTTGTTTGGGATCAAAGATAATCTGGCTCTTTCAGCATACAAAGTATAGAAGTGCAAACTGATTTCATTCTTCTGTACAAAAGGTGAAGAATTTCATATTCATATATTTCATATTCATATATTTCATTTCAGGAGATGGCCTTCAATTTATTTTTTTCCCTTTTCTCTAAAGCTATTCGTGCTAATTACTAATACCTACTAACTACTTCAGGAACAAATAACTGAACAGCTGATGGATGCAAGGAAGAAAAAGCCATTATACGACATACCTAAATTTACTCTATGTGAAAAGTAAAATCAACATCACTGATGAATTGCTAGATTAGTACTCTCTCTCAAAAACATCTTGTGGTTTTGATAAATAAGTGCTTCTACTTACACTAGGGACAGCCGAACTTTTCTTACGTTCAGGAATATCAGCCTTATTTGGATTGCTGGCATTTCCAAGCATTGGACTAGCTGGTGCAATTCCTCTTCCTGCAACAGCACTACTGCTAGATTTTCTTGATTGAATTCCTTCCTCTTTTAGGTCACTGTCTGTAGTACTAGTTTGGCTTCTTTTGGGATATGCCACTACTGGGGGGATGGATGGTCCAGCTTAAAAAGCAAACAAAAGAAACAGAAAAATGATTTTTCTTCTCAGAGGTACAGTTGCTATTTTTCCCTACAATAGAAATGCATTCACACTCATGAAAATTGAAATAATGAACACTGAGAATCAGAGATGCAAAAAGGTCATTCTTGAATTATTAAACTAATGCATACTTTAGAAGACAATAATATATTTAGAGAGCAATAAACTCTTACTTTTTAAACACTTGTGTCTTCACATCTGCTTTTTTCTCTTTGGAGGAAAATATGAAGAAAGCTTCACACTCCCCCCCCTTTTTTTTTTTTTAATAAATCTGGCAAATTTGACACTCAAATCACCTCTGGTAAGGTCTTCCCTTGTATAACAATTCAAAGATACATAACACTCTTCATTTCAGCTCGCTAAAGACAGGGAAGGTCATAACAAGCAATCATTTGAATTTAGTAGATGAAGTTACTACTTGATTTCAATGTAAGAATTGAGAACCTAATAGAGTCTTGGGGTTTAACTACTGACACTGGTTTAGCTTGCAAAGAAAAAAGCCCCACACCCTGAAGAGTCATCTAAGGCCACTGAACAATTAACTGACTCATTTGGATCAGAGGAGACCCTTCACTAGCATATACCCAATGTACACTGTGCAAGCTAGTGTCTGATAAAAACGGATTTCTGAGACACATACCTGGAGACATAACCCCACGCTGCCAGCAGTACTAATGGCCTGCAGGCTATGTTCAGCCTGAAGAGCCAAGAAACTGCTTCAGTTTGCCACTAACCTCTATTAAACTATTAAAGTGATAAACTATTTTATCACTGTACAATTAACTACATTTCATTGTCAGGTCACTGTCCTCTTTATCTTTGGGGGATGGAGACAAATTCAGGAACTGAACAGCTAGTAGTCATTACTTGCCACAGCACTGCAAATGAGAACTGCTCACCATGATCGCTGTAGCGCCGCTGTTTCTGGCTAGAAGATATGCTTCTCTGAACTTTGTGGTGGGGAGATTGTCCAGTGCTATTATTAAGATCACTACTTGGCCGAACTTTAGCAAGGGAAAGATTGCTGCTGGAGCTTGAATCACTTGCATCCAACTGCAACATAAATGAAGATGTGAAACAACATGTGCAGACAAAACAAACGCCCACCAAAATGCCTCCAGCTTGCAAGAAATTCTGTGACAGCAAGAACCTGCTTAGAGGGACAGGCAACAATGCTTAACTATGCCCAACATCGATTAAGTTCTTGTGCAACTGCCTTAGGTGAATCTCAGCAGAATTTGAAGCCTCTGAAAGGACAAATGAAAATCCATCTCTATATTTCCAACCCTCTCCCTCCCCTCAGTTCCATAAGATTTGAACAAGAAGATTTGAACTTTTTCAGCAGAAGCCAACTCCTCCAGCAGAGGAACTGAGAGCAGTTCACTGGTGCCTTGCTCACTTGGTATCATATGAGAAAGTACTCTGCAATGTGAGAACATTTTTAGACTAACAGGCCCTATTCCTCAATTCTCTTAAAATATTTACAGCAAGCACATTTGCACTTGAGCTCTTAGACTAGGCAGGATAGTAACTGGCATAGAGCCCTTACGAGGAGTCACCGCTGATCAAGCAGGATAGTTCTTGGTATCCTACAGAAACTAATTTACTGAATCAGACCATGTTGAGATCACTTACAGCATCATTCAGAGAGTTCAGCTGACACTGATGATTAGAAAAAATTGATCTAAAATGTACTAGACTAGCATGCAGGAATGCAGTGCCTATAGTTACTGATTTATTATTTGCTTCTGATTTTTCTACTGACACCAATACATTCGGTTCTTTGCATTTGGAAGCGTGATCCTCACCTCTGATGATTTCCTTCCCAGCAATAAGTATGTAGCTGTGATTTCATCATACTTCATTTTACTAAGGGATTCTTGAATTTCTTCTTGAGAATATCCCATTCCTACCATAATATCTAAAAACAAATACATGCTGTAAGCAACAAACACTTTGATGCTTACACTTCTTGTATGTTCAACTTGAGAAAGAAGAGAAAGAAAGAAATATTCAAAGAATGAAACAAAACTGTTAACTATGAGAACAAAAAAGCCTAATAAGACATCAAATTAAAAGATTAGTTACTTCGTCCAAATGGGAAAGAAATACAGTGTGGTGCAGAAAAAATACATCATGAGAAATAGTAACATATTCTGAAAAATACTCAATTACCTATTCTTTTCTGGTCCGAGATGTCTAGTTCTGGTTCAACAAAAGGTTTAAGTTCATCCTCCTCATGCCCTGCATTGATCCACCTGTCCTTCATAATTTGCTATAAGGAAAGGTTTTTGTTACTACAACATACTTAGTAGCGAAGAAAGTGAGCTGTGGAAAGAATGATTCCCCCATCTAACAAATACTAATGCTTGCTCACATTTTTCTTTTTCAGAACAAGCCCCAGCACATACTCAGTTTTGCCGTGCTCCTGTTACAGGAATCAACTGTGCACATCAGGGTGAACTACTGCCCAATCAGCACTATTCTAGCACACAGCTGAAAAGTGAAAGTCCAGTACACAGACAAGGAGCACCAGCCACCTCTGACAAGTCATAGTTGGCTACAGAAGTCTACAGAAGCCAGCATTATTTTGGTCTTTCTTCTCCACAGTGGCACAAAACGCAAGAAGGCGGCAACCAGACCATAAGCTAATAGTGAATATTCCCACATCCCTTTCGTTAAGTTCTGGTTGATCATCCATTAGCACAGGAATCAAAATGCTTGCTATCAGGAAAAATTTGTCCGATGTGTGCAGTGTAAAGTCTCATTCATTTTGGAAGTAATGAAGAGTTGGTTGTCTTGTAATTCCTGCAAATGAAACTGTAAATAAAAAAAGCTGTGTCTTCTACTGAATTCCCCTGGAACCCACTCCAAATAAACTATTCATGAACAGCATGACAACAAGTTACTGACCAGCTCAAAAATAAAGCTCGCAAAAAATGACGACGAGCTTACTAAAACAGTTGTTTTTGTCATTACCTCTAGAGTGCCTCTTTTTGTTGGGTTTAGCACCAGGAAACGTTTGAGGAGGTTTTCACAGTCTGTGGACATGTAGAAAGGAATCCTGTATTTTCCCCTTAGTACTCTTTCTCTAAGTTCCTTGGTAACAGAAGCAGAGACAGTAAGACATAAGCAGCGCGTAACCAAAACATTAGGAAACATGCCCCCTGAAGGCCAACATTCCTGCACAAAGCTCACCTTTAAGTTCTGTCCATCAAAAGGAAGAGATCCGCTCACGAGGGTATAAAGAATAACACCTAAACTCCAAACATCTACTTCAGGTCCATCATATTTTTTCCCTTGAAAAAGTTCTGGAGCAGCATACGGTGGGCTGCCACAAAAGGTGTCCAGTTTATTTCCAACTGTAAACTCATTGCTAAAACCAAAGTCAGCTATTTTAATGTTCATATCTGCATCTAGCAATAGATTTTCAGCCTGAAAGAGAAAGAAAGGTTCATAAAATAAACTTAAAATACTAGATTTAAGAGGCTACTGCCCGTTTTAACTCATTCTTAAAATGGAAATAGCTGGAACATCTGTTAACATTCCCCTTTCCTGCAAGGTCTTTTGATATACTTCTGACTGTTCATATATTCTGTTTTGAAATAGTCTATACAATGGCTTCGGTCTATGGCAGCTGTTGTGATAACTGAAAACTGTGCTATTGCCATCTGTTTTCTCCATGGAAGTACCGTAGCTAACATTTTTAATCTATGAAGATTAAAAAAAGAATTCTCTCCCTACTCCTTATTTACATGGCATTCCTGCAGAAGTTTGATAGTACGCACAACCCTTAAATATTTTTCAAGTTGGACTGGTGCATTTTGTTGTGCTTTTAATTTAGAAAGCTATGATATATTTAACATGTTATGTAGCAATATATTAATACAAAAGGCACAGTTTCAAGAAGGGACAGGTCGAGGCAGTACGGTATTAAAGAGGAGAGATTTAGATCTGATGTCAGGAGAACTGACACAACAACTGATTTTTTACTCAGAGGGTGGTGAGGCACAGGAACAGGATGCCCAGAGAAACTGCGCCAGTTGGATGGGGCCCTGGGCAGCCTGAGCAGGTGGGGGGCAACCAGCACACTGCAGGGGTTGGAGCAGAGCGGTCTGCAAAGTCCCATCCAACCTAAGTCATGCTGTGCTTCTACAATCACAATTTTGTGTCAAGTGACAAAAAAAAAAATCATTTTCTAGTTTTGTCATCACAATTGATTATTCATTCTGTCCAAAATCAACACCTGTCACAGCTCTACCAAACTAGGTTTGTGGAGTGCTTTTCTGTTTGTTTGTTTGTTTTTGTTTTTAAGACCTTGCAGCTAACACTGACCTCTAACAGACTGAAATCTGATCAGAGAGTAAAAGGCTATCTTTCAAAAGCCATGAGATTTCAGTATTGAGAAGCATAACAAATCCTTTTATTTGAAATAGTTCTATATACTCTAAACATTACCAAAATCTACTATAATGTAAGCAAAAAGAAACCCTACACCCCAAAGTATATCCTACATTTTATAGGCACCATAAAGATCACACCCACAGATACAGAAACCAGTTGTTGCAGACACACACACACTTCTCCCCACTCACCTTGAGATCTCTATGAACAATATGCTTTTGATGGCAGTACTGCACTGCAGATACTATCTGGATAGAAAACAAGCCCAATTATATAAGTGGTATCTCAAAGAAACAGTTTTAATCAAAAAGTTCAACATTTATTAATTACTAATGTGGACAGGTACTTATCAATTCAGAGCTATATATGCAACTACTCCAACATATTTACAGGAAAGCTGATAAATAACTTAGGTTATTTAGGTGTTTGTTATTTAATCTATTTGGTTTCTACTACATTTGAAAGAGAATTTTGTTTTCTCCTGTATGACTAATTATAGAACAGTAGAAGCAATGTCTTACAGAAAGGTTACTGAAGTATTTCCATTCCACTACCATATACAGCTATAAAAACTTTCCCTTTAGACTGAAGTTTTCCAGCCCCTGTCCAAAGGTGATTTTTCATGCCATAGTAGGGAGAGGAAAGGCTAAGAAATGGCATGGCTACTGGAGAAATTACTGGTGGAAAGCTTGCCTGGCTAAATTTCAATTCTGCACTGAGAGACAACCATGTATCTGACAAGAGCTGCATATGCTGTTTCATACACTGTGTGAGAGTAGCAAACAATGGAAAAACTATATGCAGAATAATCCAGAGTAATTTCTTCCATCATAATTTCCAAATATCCTTGGTTTTTCCTGCTTTATGTAACTAACTATATAAGCTACTTACACAGCTGTCCCAGTATACTGCTTTAGAGCTACAGGCACAGAACTTTACACATAGAGAAAAGCTGGATAAGGTCATACTGTTACATGATCACAAATGCTGTCAAAATACATTTTAATGTAACACACGTGTGTTCAGAATTGAGGCAGATATTATAACTTAAAATATGTTAATTGCATGTAAAAATAATACACTGTAATAACTACACTTAAATACATGCATTTCCATTCTGTATTGCAGATTAACATTTCCAGTACAGAAAGATGAGATGACATTAATGCTCCCAAAAGTAACTCATTAGAAGGTAACCCAGCTTAACATAACAATCCTCCTGCATCTGTAGGAAGCAATGTTGTGCACTCTATTTAGAATAGATGAAAGCAAGGCTCTTGGCAGGTCAAAGAAGTGTCCTACCAGTCATTTTGCATTTCAAGCTTCAGTAACTTGTCTTAATCTTTGTGCCCCTGCATTACAGAATCATGCATATCTACAAAATGCCACCTTAGTAACCAAGTGTTTGATGAAAAGTTGAAATACTTCTGTTTCCTACACTTCCATTCTGCTTCTGTCCCTTTGTGAACTGGTAAGACTCCCACTTCAGCTTCTGCCAGCCACTAAAGCAGGTGAGCTCTCCCATGCCACCACCTGCACCACCCATGAGGTTCTCCCTCTCCTCCCCACTACCATTCCCTTGCACCAGTCACAAGCTCCCCTTCCCCAGATGCTCCCAGCCTGCCAGCACCACAAACCCCTCTTGCTTTATTCAGCACTGCAGAGAGGCAGCACGATACTGCTCGCTTCTGAGCTGCTTTTACTCTAAGAGCAGGAAGTCTAGCAGATTATCAATCAGCTGCTTTCTCCAGGGATACCTCTGAACTATTCTGCACCGCAACAGGATAGCACAGACTGCAGAAGCAAGCCAAATCCAAAAGGAAGGGAAATAATGTAACGCATGTAAGAAAGATTAACAACAGTCATAACTGAACAAGGAACACAAAGTATGGCTTCACTGAGTCAAATTCCTTGCCTTCCACATTCTGTCACTCGTTCATTAGCAGCCCCCTCATTCCCACCTATTAGTGTGAGAAACTTGCTGATACTTGGTAGGTGGAGATAACAGGGCAAGAAACAGAAGGCTTCTAGTTGTAACAACAGGAGCACTTCAGTGCATTTCTCTGGAGGAATTTTAAAATCCATATAATCACAGGATTTTAAGAACAAGATGGCACATGTGGAACTATTCTTTGTAAGGGTTGGCTGATTGAATAGAACAGCAAAAGGACAGATAAATAACCTCCCCAGGTCTCTTCCACAGTGCTAAAATGAGCATTTTGTTTCTTAACTGGAATATACAACAGTAATATGGATTTTGTGGATTTTTTTTATTTTCTAAGACGATGTCCTAATATATACCACTAACAAAACTCAATGAACTGCTTCTACAGGAAAGAGTGGGAAGACTGAAGGAAGCCAGATCTACTCTGGTACAGTAGAGGAAGAGAGGGAAGTAATACATATTCATTTTCTATTTTTTTGGTGGGAGGAGAACACTCATTCACCTTCCTCTTTACCTGACTCCCCATTTTTGCATCAATTCCTAACCAGACAGGCAGATTTCTGTATGGAGTAAGGATGGTGAGACTGAACCAGAACTGTCTGGAAATCTGTAATAGCGAAATTAAAACTAGGTGACATTAAGAAAGCAAAACATTCTGGATTTGAATTTCTCATACACAGTTGCACAAAAGGAAAACGATATGGAGAGCATTGAACAGAGAAATGGACTGCAGAGCATGGCTGTATTTTCAGTGTTTGTACCTTCTCATGTGTTCCTTTTCAAGCATGACTGGAATAACTTGATTACTGTCTTGTTGTTTTTTTTTCCCCCTGTTAAAAGGCCCAAGTATGCATAACAAAATGGACAAAAGATATATTTGTACATAAATATATCTTTAAACAAGTAAAGATGGGAGAACTACCAAATCCTGCTCCCTGTCTGGTAGAGAGAGAAGCTGAAATGCTGCTTCTGATAAAACACAAATGTTTTATGCCTAAATTACGTCTATTGAAAGAAGAAATAGGATCTGAAAATAAGATATAATATAACATATTGTAAGTACTAAGCTCAATACCATGGCACAACTGTTTCTGCAGTTTAAAGAGGCCCCTTTCTGTTAAACTAGTTAGTGAATTAAAAAAAAAATCCCTATTATGTCCTAAATCCATCTAACATTAGGACAGCTGCACTGAATCAGATAAAAGTCCTACACAGAGCATTCTCCCTCCAGCAATGGCTAAAAGCTATATGAAGCTATTGTGAGACTTCAGTAAAGTAAAAATGAATGGTTTTATGACCCACAAACCCAGTAAGATCTAGTTTCCTCTCACTGTCCTGCAGTCAAAGTCCTGGTGTTGGATAAATGTCAAGCTTTGATCAAAGTTTTCTGACTTCTGTCCCACATGCATGCTCTTTTCTCCAGCAAAGTGTGATGAGCTCACACTATAGCTTCTACCCTTAGGGTATTACTATGGTTCTCTTTTTTCCCCAGACACTCAAGCTTTTGTTGCTCTCAACAACCTATCTTTGAGATCGAGATCCTCTACAATTGGCTGAATTCAGCAACCAGTAAAGTCAGCTATTGAGGAAAGATAGAGGCAGCTGCCTATTCCAGGTTTCTGAAAGGAAACAAGACTTACAGAAAGAGAATTAACACATATTGCAGTAGACTGAAGTGCAGCCACCCATATATCTTTATGAACAGCATCTATCCTACTGAATTACAGAAATAAAGCAGGGAATTCAAAGTAAAACACTTAATGGGTCAAACATGCAGCTTAGCAGTTTTATCTTTTCAATTCTTTTCCTTTGTTTTTGAAGAAGGTGGGGCTTTTTTTTTTTTTTTTTTTTTTGGAAGATGCCTATATCCCACATTATATGTCTATATAATATAACACATATATTATGGTTTTTCACAAGTTCTCACATAAAGGAGAGTTGAATCCTTGAGAGAAAAAAAAAGGTAAATGTGCAATGGAATTACTGCAAGATTCATTTCCTCACAACTCCTGCTAAAAGAAAGGTGGCACGAAGATCAGAGAACCAGTTCTCAGCATTCACATGTGAGAAAGAACAGCAAATTCTTTGAAGATATTCTGAAGAACTTCATGTGACATTACAAAGACAAAGGGATGGGATTTAAAGTGGTTTGGGATTTAAAGACAGCTAAAGTGGAAATGACTGCTCCACAACACAGCACAGTTGATCACACATATCCCAATGCACAGCAAAGTACATAAGTACTTAATCACAAAGGAAAGTGCTCTACCTGAAGGAATACTGAATTTAAAGACATAAGGTTTTGTTACAGAGGTAGAAAAATTTTCCTTATGCTAAAGCTCCGTATCAGTCCAGTAAACACAAATCTCATCTCCTGAAGTCTGCAGCTGCCTTTTTTGTTCTTCGTTTCTTTTAATCTGCTGCAAAACTAAATACAAGACTTCTTTATTAATTCTCACAAATTCATCTAAGTTATCCAATGTGATGGTAATTACATAAGCACTTACAAGTTTCTGCACAAGAGCAGAAAAGAGAGCACATTAGGCCAGTGAGATCTGCAAATGAAACACCAGCTACTGCAAGAGGATCTGGATCTTTAATTATGCAAAAATATTTATGTTCAACATTGCTTTATTGTAGAACACAAATGCCTTTCTAAAGATGAATGAAATTCCAGCATTTTCACAAGTTCAGTTTATCCATCATAAAGAAAACTATAAACTACCAAGCCTAGAAATTATTCTTCAGTGATGTTTTAGAGCAGCTGTTAAATTGCATCTTTTCATACAAGTGCATGGGTGTGAACGGGTGCCTACTCCAGGCACTGCCCATGTTTGCTCCTGACCTGGTTTGCAGTGTGTTATACTTGAACAATCTCCAAAAGGTTGCAGACCAGCTGAAGTAAGGACATATGAAATCAACCCAGAGGAAATGAATTTTGGAACAGATTCCACCAAAGCAGTCACTGTGTTCTGGCACTCCCAGACACCCTGGCACGAACACTAAGGAAGCCAGCACTGCTGAATGGACTGCTAACCCCTCCAAAATACTGCTGAAACCCAAGTTTCCTCTCACTGAGTGTTACGAGGGCTACAAGTCCACACATCCCAGTGAACATTGCTAGGAGTCAAACACAAAGGACAGCTGTTTCATCCATTTCAGCATTAAAAACAAGGTGGAAAAAGCTGATGTATAGGAACGTTATACATACCTGTCTAAATTTAGCTCTTGCTTCCTTTTCCTTCATTCTTCCATGCGCAACCAGATAGTCAAACACCTCCCCTACAATTTAATAATGAGATGCATTAAAGCCAACTCAGAATGCAGAGATTCCTCTCTAGCAGTTACCCACAGCAGCTTCCCTGGAATGACTGTATCACAAGTTGAACTTGAGGTTAAGGTTGTAGGTTAGCCCAAGGGAACAAGGCAGAAGAGAACACAAACAACATCGTCTCTTACAGAAGAGAACAATAAGGCTTAATGAAAGACTGGATATAGACAAAAACATTTCCTTCCAACTGTTCATGACAGAAAAGCAATGGCAATACTTCTATTTTGTAAACAGAGGTGACTTGTACTTCACAGACTTTGTCACAAGGGTACCTTTTGCACTGCAAAAATAAGCCTCATATATGAAAGCATCTGATGATACCTATAAATACTGTTACACCAGCATCGTAATTCTTCTTTGCACAGGCAAATGAAGTATCTTAACCAAAACAGAAATCTTAGGCGTAACCTAGGCTTGAAGGACACATTCCCAATGATAGCTGTAATAATGAACCTAGCAGGATACTGAGATGACCCATCACACAAGCATGAGGTAAGACAGCAATGTTACAGAATCACAGAATGGCCAGGGTTGGAAGGGACCTCAAGGATCATGAAGCTCCAACCCCCTGCCACATGCAGGGCCACCAACCTCCCCATTTAACACCAGACCAGGCTGCCCAGGGCCCCATCCAACCTGACCCTGAACACCTCCAGGGATGGACGGGGCATCCACAACCTCTCTGGGCAGCTGTTCCAGCACCTCACCACTCTCTCTGTAAAGAATTTCCCCCTGACATCTAACCTAAATCTGCCCTCCCTCAACTTAGATCCATTTCCCCTTGTCCTGCAGTTATCTCAGGATAAGGTATCTCAGGATACCCTCTCAAAGAGTTGATTCCCCTCCTGTCTGTAGGCTCCCTTTAGGTACAGAAAGGCTGCAATGAGGTCACTTCGCAGCCTTCTTTTCTCCAGGCTGAACAAGCCCAGCTCCCTCAGCCTGTCCTCATAGGGGAGGTGCTCCGGTTCCCTGATCATCTCTGTGGCTCTCCTCTGGACCCTCTCCAACAGCTCCCTGTCTTTCTTGTATTGGGGGTTCCAACCTGGATGCAGTACTCAGCAATGGGGCCTCACAAGAACAAAGTAGAGACAATCACCTTTCTGTCCCTGCTGGCCACCCCTCTTCTGATAGTGCTCAGGATACCATTTGCTTTCCGAGCTGAAATGTACAAGCTGGATTACCTCTGAATGTACAAGCCCAATGTTGTATGGCTAATGGAGTGGATGTCTAAAGGAGACTACCAAAGTAGCACAAAAATCTGTGCTTTTTTAAAACTTTGTTTTTCACTGGTTTTAAGCCAATCCTGCCATTTTGAAACATGTCAGTACAGTCTACATTTGAGCTCAAGGCACAGCCAACAGGCCCATGGAACACTGGTGTGCTGCTGAAAGCACAAATCTTAACTAAAAACTGACAAATATAAAAAAAAAAAAAAAGAAAAAAAAGAACACCCAACAGCACAAGTTAGCATAGTTTTTAAGATTCTTCATCAATATGCAAGATTAATATTAATTTTAGAATTTAATCAAATACTTAAATATTCTCTATTGAGCAAGATACCACTGTTTTGCAGGTAACCAGCTCACAAGGAAATTGCTGAGTTAAAGAAGGAACTTCAGCAAACTGAAGTAATAAAAAAAGCTAGAGTCATACAGCAGAAAAAGCAACAGCTGAGCATTCTGAGGGAATGTGAGGATTTTCTACAGAAATCCTTGCTTCCCTCATAGCATTACTACTTAACACCCAAGTCAGAAAATTCTCTCGGGTACATTTCACAGCCATTTCTTCAGAAAATTTGAAGCAGCAAGGCTGAATGCTTTCAGAATTTAGGTAAAATGATGCCAGATAAGGAATTATAGTCATTTTACGCAAAATACTGCAGTTACTGGAATACAGTTCCCCTCATCCTCCAACCAGGGTCTCTTGAAAATAGAAAATTGATCTTTGTCACTCAGAAAAGTGGCCATGCCTGCTTTGAACAACAGCACATGTGCACAGGGCACTGCTCACAGCCTGTCAGTGCAATATGCGTTTCTCCATTACTCTAAGATCTCATTACTTCAGAGAACAGTTGGCCCTTCTACCTTGTGGAAGCCAATCACTAGATGGCAACAGGACTTCGCTTTTAAGTGTAGCACCATCGAACTGCAGAGATGCCTCCACAAATGCGTACTGTCCAATATCACAAAAGTGTTTTACAATGCTTGTTTCTGTTTAGACAAAGCTTGGCTGAACATTCAGGGAATTGCTAGAAAACAACATGGGCAATCTGGGGATTCTTTACACGTTTTATAATAATTATCTAACCTTCACATAATCTACCAGAATTCAATGTTGAAACTTATCTGAGACGGAACTCTATTTTCCTCCCAAAGCTGAAGAAAAGGCTCAACTATTTGAGATTCCCAGATGCTGATGCTAAAGGGTCACATTGACAAAGAAGGGACTATCAGGTTTTAGCCAGCCAAGAGTAACTTAAGCCCAAATACTTTATCTAGCTCTGCTGAAAATATCTGACACTGCACGGTGCAGACTTTTTCCCCCCTCTGCAATCAGGAATAATTAAGTTCCTCCAAAACCTCCCATCTGAAAGGGACATAGGTAGTATAGTAATATTTGACAGCAGAATGTCTGTGATGAAGGTATGTCAAACACCACCAACATCTAAAAAAACTGAAGTTGCAAAACTCTTACTTTTGACACATCCCATCCATGTTTTTACCAAGTATCTTATGCAAAAGAAGGCACTAGTCCTGGGGAGCTGAACACAATAAAAGGCTGACATTTGTTATAGACAAAATTTAAGTTGTAAAACAAAGCAAAAGTTACTAAATTCCAGTAAGCTCAGAATGAAGGTTTTCAAGATATGAAGACTGAACAAGTTCTTGGGACTACTAAAGACTGCTTAAATTTGTATCCTACCACGACATTAATATTTGCTAAAAACAAAACCAAAGCATTAAACTAAAAAGTGCTTTCTGCCACTTGGCAATTTGTTTACCTCTTGGCTCTAATAACAAACTTACTTACCCCCACTTGCATATTCCATTATTAAATAGAGAGTTTTTTCAGTTTCAATGACTTCAAATAATTTCACTGGAAAAGAAAGCAATTTATTAATCAAATAGCTAGTTGCAGAAGTATTCATTTAATTCCATAGGAAATTCTGTTGGAGAACAATAATTTGCTTGCTGCTTGACAGTATCAGAATATTACTCTAGAGAAGCTTTTTTTCTCCAATATCTCTAAGTGGAAAATACTCCAACATATTTGCTCATCTCATAAGGATCAACATTTTGTCATGAAATAAGACTGTTGGCTACGAGGAAAAAGCAAGTAACTTATGCAGAACTTCCATGAATTTGAGTGTCAGCACTGAGCATCACCAATAGCCATTTTTGCACACTGTCCTGGAACACATGTTGGCAAGTAAGTTATCAATCAGTTTGCTGACAGTACTGTAACAGCAGTGCTTCAACTAAGCAATCCTGAACAATTTCTTGACCATTTCTTGTGTTGGTATACAATTATTTTAATGAGAAATTAAATTCAGTAAAAATCATTATTCTACTCAAAAGATGTGAGTTATCAATAAGCTATGGAAATTGCAGTTTCATGTAAAAGGGTCAACATTTTTTGCCTTGTTAAACAATTATGACAGTGTATTTTTTTTTACTGCTATGTAACAGTATATTAACCCTCTAGTGCAGAACCTTCTTTTAAACTTAATATATTACATGAAATAAACAAGGTACCTATATTTGGATGATTTAAGATCTTCATTATTCTTACTTCTCTAAAGAGCTGAAATAAATATAAAATATGAAATGTTAATGAAAGTAATAGGCAACATCTGTTCTTCCTAAAGCCTGATGTGATATACTTGGCTAATTTTAAACACAGAGAGCAAACATTACTATTAGCATTTCAACAAAGGTCATTAAATTAACCACTTACTGGAGGGAAGAGCTAAGTGCCTCCTTGTTTTAAGCCTGCCCTAAAAACCTGAAAACACCCGCAAAGTGCTGCAGGTAGCTCAGGAAACAAGTGATCTTAGCTCTGTGGTTCTCACACCATGGGGCCCCAAAGACCACTTTAAGACCACACAGCTCCTCGCAGGCCACTACACATCTCATACACTTTCACATCTTCATAGAAAAAGCTTGGTTTCAAAGTTCTACAAACCCCATGCAGAGCACCATTTGAAGACCAACATATTAGGTCACTGGTATGAACTCTTCACCACTTTGTTGGAGGTCAGCCTTCCACAGGATGCTACAGAAATGCTGTGGCGCATGACAGGAGCTCGGAGGTGAAAAATCAACTGCTTATCTCACAAAAACTACGCTGCTCAATGAGCAAGTTTTAAGCACGGATAAATGGACGTGTGAGTCTCCTCCTTGGGCCTTCAGAGCACTCCTTCAAGACGCCTAAGGCACAAGAACATCTAGTTCAGGCCTTGGTAGCATCGCTTCAAGAATTCAAGGCTGCTGACCCAGCGCACAGACTGTGCTAGCCAGTTCATGGGGCAAAACTCCAGTGGATTTTTCCTGACTAAACAATCACTGGTTGAGAGAAGATACCACAATCTGAGGGTAAAACCTCAAAGGGATCAGCCTACTGCCACCCTCTCCACCATGCACGGGCCTGCTGCCTTCCTTCACTCAAGCTCTGGGGTTAATCTGAATTGATGCACGAGGTCAAAGCATGAATTTTACAGGAAAATCTTGCCAAAACCAAAACTCCTTCCAAAAATACATAAGCCTTCTTCTGCAGCTCCCTTACCTACCCCAGCTCATCTATTTTAGCTGAAGGGATGGGGGCAGAACGGATGCCAGAGTACAACCACCTCTTTCGAGCAGACCTCTTACTGGCTCTGCAGGGCCTCCTTCCCTAAACCCTGACAACAGCAGTCATGGGAAGGGAGTCTTGCTTGAATAGTTACTTCCAAAGAGTTCAACTCTGCCTAATCAAACAGAGTACACTCTGTCCTCCTGCAGTGGGACATGCAACTGCATTTAACACATAACAAATGAAAGCCAAGCTTGCTCCTGATCAGCCGTTAATTATTTTCACCTTTGAAAATTCTCTTTTGTAAAAATCAATTTAAAGAGGCACAATAAACACAGTGTAATATTAAGAATGCCACAGGTGTTGTTACTGCAATATAAAATGTTTTTAGGATGCTTGTTAATAGTAGATGAAATAATAGTAATAAAGAAGTCCCATTTCTCCTCCCAGAGAAGACTAAAGATAAAAAATATTACAAAAAAACCCCGAGTGCAAATACTGTTGTATTCAGATTCCTTCAACTCTCTATAGCCACTGTTAAAACAAACAGCAACAAATAAAACCCACAAAGAATGACCTTTTTAGGCAGCATGTTACACGGTAGCCATGCGTGTAACATCTCTTCCTCTATAGCTCCCCCCTTGCCAGCCCAGGACTCCAGATGGCTGACATTCTTAAGCCTTGATTATTTTCTAACAGCATGCTTCAAAACGAGGGAGTAATTGAATGGTTTTATTATAAATCTAACACCAACATCTACAGGAACACTAGTAACATAGCAGATCATACTGAACCTAATGTAAAGAGACCAAAGCAGAAAAGACAGACTCAACAGGAGTGCAGACAAGGGAAAAAAAGAAAGCACTTTCTAAAGCAAGAGGTAACAGCGTTGTTGCTAACAGTAAGAAAGCAAAAAGTGCCGCTATTAAGATTCACCTTCAGGTTACATTTCATGTGAAAGGGAGATATTTCATATGTCTACATCTATTACTAAGGACTCAAAAAATCTGTGTAATTACTCAATAGTTACCAAATAAATAAAGGCAAAACAAAGGAAACAAAAACAACAAAAAAGAAAAAAAAAAAAGAAAAAAAGAAAAAAAAACAACCAAAATCCTTCCACCTTTGTGTCTTTTCATACAACAGATTGGAGAGCAGTCTTAACCTTTTTCTGCTTTCTGATGTTTCTGTCAAGGCTGCCATCTGGGTAGCAATCTTCATCAAACTGCCCCAAAAGGTCTGCCCTCTATTCTACAGCCACAGCTGTGAATGGTTTGCTAACTGAGCACCAAAATAAAACAAAACCGCTTTCAAATGGTTTTCGTTATCATATAATCATTATCCAGGTCTGTGCCGGACACCTCACTAGATGATAACGCAAAATCTGTTGGGTCACAATAGGCAACACAGAAAAATACAGTGAAGGCATGAGGCTAACATTCACAGCGTCATCATGTAAACAAATGCACTCATTAATCTAATCTTTTTATAAAGAATGCTGACATGGCTGGAGCTGGCTACTTCCTCCGTTGCAGTTTGATGGTCTAATGCGATAAAGCCAGGCTACATTTTGGGCTGTTCTAAATATATCATTTGTCTACAAAACTACTACTCTCTGCTTTACTCACACTACTGAAGCCTATCAAAAAGTGATTTCTACATATGAGCCATTCGTAGAAGTGGGTGACTGGAAATGAGCTTTTTAAAAATGGTTATTCTTGCCTTAGGGAGAATTGAAAATAGAAACGCTTAAGAGTAGGATACAAACTCCACCAAATGCTTTATTATAATTTTAGTTATATAAATGCACTTTTGGATTGTGTTCCATAAACAGTTTAAATGTTATGTTTGGCATTTTGACACATGCAGCAACTTCTACAGGGACTGACATTGTATTATACTCTATTTCTGTAAGGAACAGAACATAAAACATGATATGGCTTTCAAATACTGTGCTGAAAGAAGGCTTCCTGGATTTAATTCCCCCACAATACAACGTACATCAACCTCTGGTAAGTGCAGTATTAATTACTGCCAGACTTTCTAAAGCCCACAGCACAATTCATTAACAGCCATAATTGGCTGTTACAGAAGGTGTTATATCATTAGAAGGGGTAACATTAGGGTTCTCCACTCCAAAAACCATTTTCTTAGTTTCAGGAACTTGTCACCACGTGACCATAAAGGCTGACTATCAGCTGCAAACAGTGCTTATCAGTTTAATTTCTAATACAGAGATTAAAAACTACTCCCAGCATATTGAATAGCTCATTTTCCGTCAACAGGAGCTCTACAAATGTTTCCAGGGAAAGACAAACATCCTAAGTCTGCCAAACAAATGGCTTTCAGCTTTGTTGTGGTCTGGTCCTTTGACTGTAAGTTATGTTAGATACAGGGAAAGAATTTAATGCTGCCAGGGGACAAACAGCACGAAGAAAATCAGCAACAAAACACAGACACATACCAAGTAACAATCTTGAAGCAATTTTACTTGAACTTTATTGTGCTGATACATCTAAAACAACACAGATCGAGGAAATGGGGAGCCAACTTTTCAGCCAACTCTTTGAATAAGCTGAAAGACAGATTACAAGTGTTCCTGCATTAGCTATTGCTAGAGTTTCAGTAACAAAGGACTTCAAAAACACTGAAAAAAAGTTTGCTAAAAAGCAAGTCAGTACGCTAGTCAGATGCAGAGCCCATTTCCTGACCTCCTTCCCTCAAAGCAGGGAGGCTTTGCACAAGATGTTCTCCCGAGCCACATCAAGCTTTAACCATGTGTTAGGCTCCTCCTGGTAACTGCTCACTGAAATACACCCGATATATAATTGGGAGCCTCAGTCAGGAAGGCTTTACGCAGCACACATCAGCGTCAACTAAAGAACAACATGAAAACAGACACAATACACATTAAGAAACAAAATTTCTGTGCATTTTAAGCTCTCATACTTTCCCTGTGCTTTTCAAAACAGACAGACCCAAGGTCAGAAAGGACACAGTGCACATAAAAACTTCTAGTTTAAAAGCTCTAAAAAGATTTTAGGACCAAGGTCTGAACACAAGCATTTGGCTGAGGAGCCAAGTTCTAAAAAAGGAAAATGAGAAGTGATTTTGTGCTATTACGTGTGCTTGGTAAAAATAAAAATCTTGCATATAATGGCACTGCTAATTCAAAACAAAACAAACAATCTTTTTTGGTCTAGAAGGAAGTGAGCTACTGTAGCATCAACACTTGTTTCCAATGAGACCGACAGACCGATATTCACTGGGACTGGGTACAGAAGTACATTTTTGGAGAATAATGACTATGACTAACAGCAGTAGCATGGGAAAAAAGCTCTAAGAATTCCCTTTTCTTTTAGAGCAGGGAAGTACTGACTATAGTTTCCTCTTCCCTAAGCAAAAGTGGCAGAGCCGTAATTAGCTCCTGAAACAAGAGCTGGAGGAGCTGTTGTGTCTCCCACAGGCCGTCGCTCCCCTGAAGAGCGGCACTGCTGAAAACTCAGCGGTGAAAGCTGCAGCCGCAGTGAGAACTGCTGCTCGAGGGGGTGAGGCACCTCCAGCAAGGGCAGCCCCTCCTGCAGCTGAAGGATGGGTGTGGACAGTGTAAAGCTGGAAACCAGCCTTAATTCCCTTGTTTCACCACCTGAGGATGAGCAGACAAGCAGGCGGCGGCCCGTGCTCCACACCCCATCTCTTCTCAGCAAAGCCCTTTCCTCCCCGCTGAACCTCAGTAATTCATCACTCCCTCCACAAGTGCCAGCCCAGAGGCTTCCATCTCAACTCACCCTGAACCCAGGGTCATGCACACAGTTTGCTTCCAATGCACTGCGACTACAGCGGTGCTGACAATGCCGGAGTGGGCAAAAGCTTTCAGAAAAGCTTTGACAAAGCAAAATCGGTAAGTAATGCACTGTGTGCTTACTGTGCTCAACACTAAGCACTCAACATTAAGGAAATGACTTTCCACTTCTAAATGGAGAGCATGGACATACCTTGCTAAACCTTCTCTGCTCATGTAAAAGTGAGCTTGGTTAGAGAAGCGAACACACTGGCAATCTCAGTCTCCAAATCCCATCAGATTTCTATCCTGCTATTTTGTACTGCTCCTCCAGACTCCCATTTAGGGAACCTACTGGTAGGAAATACTGACTTACAAACCACACCTTAATGTTATACAGCCTACATCAAAATGAAATGACAGCAGAGCCCGAGAAGTAAGTGCAGGCCGAGCAGGCAGCAGCTAAGAGCTGCAGGGCTGCCATGCACACCTCCAGCCAGCCATGTGCTGAGTGAGCTCCAGCCAGCAGGGAAGGGCAAGCTCTGCACCTGGCTTTTAGCTCCAGCACTAAGCATCTCCAGGTAACACCACTGGAAGGAGTAAGGTTTTACTTTTTCCTTCCAGAAAAGCTGCCTCTCTTCTTTTCTCTGACCATTTCTTCCGTGTTTGCTGACCCCCTCCTGTTCTTATTACAGCTTCTGTTTCTCTTCCAAGTAGTTAGATTTTTTTCAGGTATTCCAATTTGCACAGATCCACAGCACAAATCCTCTTCATCTAAATCGTCACATTATCTAATTTGCATTTCATTTCCTTCCTGCTTTGCCAGAAATTAATAATAACATCACCAATTATGCTGCAAAAACTCTGAAAAAACTGTAACCGCATTACCTACTTTCATCCCATCTGCAGGGGCAGTGGGGAGCAGTGACATCATTACTTGCTAAGATGATGCTGCCTTCCTCCTGCGGGCTGTTCTTTCTCTCTCAAACAAACCACAGAATGCAAGAACTTGTGTATTTTTCCAATTTACTTTTGCAACATTAATTTTGATGAGAACGATTTCATCGCGCAATCTTTTTAGTATTGGCATAAAACCCAAATACGGATATTCTCCAGTTTACTATTATTCTATAATTGAATTTTATCTGCTGGTAAGTTCTGCGTATTCTCTCCTTCAAACAGAGATATTCCAAGGAGCTCTTTTTTTTTTTTTTAATAAAAAAAAAAACTACTCAAATAAAAAACCTTTTAGCGCAGTGCTCAAAAGGACAGAGTTACAGAAGTCCCAGGTAAAGTGACATTTAAATGTACTTCCTGCAGGCACTCCAAAGCAGATTGGCTCGCCTGATGAAAGAGTAGGATTTATCACTACTTACTAAAATAGATAAGGCGATACAACTGTAACAGCACATTAAACACTTTAAGCTAAAAGGAAGAAACCAGAATAGTCATGCTCTGAGTTATTCCACAAAACTGTAGCACCTTTTCAGCTGAAAATTGTGTGAAAGGCATAGAGACTGCCTGGCCTTCAGTTCAGAGGCAATGTTTTCAAGGCCAGCTGAGGAGGACAGGACAGAACACACTTTCTATTTGTAGGCTCAACAAAATGACCAGCATGAAGGAGACACAGGGGCGTGACACCAAACCACAGACGTTCTCACTTGTGGGAAAGGAAGCAGCTAACAGCACCATTTTCTCAGTTCATAGCTCCATACGAGCTCATGTGTAAAACAGTACATGCATTCTGAACAACTGCTCAAAACACATCTCTTACAAAACCAGTTATTAAATACAGTAGTCAGGCTTGTGCAAGGTATACAGTGCTTCACATTCTTCAGCACAGGCATTCAGGATTTATGGTAGGAGGTGGTAAAAGGAAACAAATTACAATACAAATGGAAAGATCAAATGCAAAAACCTACCTTTTGTAGACTAGTTGGATTCAGCTGTGTTTTGTCAATTATCTTTATGGCAACCTGAAGGAAGAGATCAGGATCAGTATTTTCCATGTGACCAACTGTCAAGTTACAACAAAATGGACAAATCCAGTAGCAAATTGAAAATTACACAAAAATACTTGAGTTTTGTTAGAAAATTATGTAATAATTTTAAACTGAAAGCATTTGAAATTAACGACTTTATTATTTATTTCTACTTCAAACTATAAACAGGAGAGTGGAAAAATCTGATATTTTAATGCTATTAAGAAAGAGAAAGTCACTTAGTCTTTGACTTTACACTAAGATCATTACACATATTACAGTGGAAATTCTGATACCAGACTGTACCCTGATAGAGAGCATGGTGCCTACAGATGATATTTACACAGCATAATTACACTATGGATTATGCAGAACTGACTGTGCATTGGCAATTTATGAAGATGCTTCTAAAAGCAAAGCTTTCAGAGCAAATTGAAAACACCACAAATTCTGCAAAAACTAGGTTCACCTTTGGAAATTCACTGCATATTTGTATCACTTTGCTCCCTGATGGATACAAAATGAAAAACCACTTGTGTGTCATCAAAAACCCATTGGCTGTACTGCAGCAATTTGGGAAAGTTCATCCCTTTGCCTTTCTCACCTTCTGGGTAAATACTACACAGAAATGTTAAAAAGAACAGAATGAAAACTTCACAAAATAGCCAAAAGAAATTCAGTACCATGGTAACTAGTCAGAGCCTGAAGATTTGAGACAATGAATAGGCAGAGATGAGCCTCAGTGCAATGCAATTTGGATACAGGCTGAGTTAAAACAAGAAGGAGGAATCTTGCTAGAATTACGTGCCAATTGGTATTTTTCCCTTCTAAATTATAGGCTAAACACACCAGAAGAAACTCTGCAGAAGCCAAGGAGATGGTGCCTCTCACAGAGGCAAGATGCTGCAAGTCAGCTGATTATAATACTTTGCTGGTACAAAGAAAGGGCTCTCAGTTCCCCTTGAATTTTTGGCTCAAATGGTAGACACTATGCCACAGCTCCCATTTCCCTGCATCACTCTGCGCCATCTTTGTAATCTCATCAACCTGGGCTTGGCAGCATATGGGATATAGAAAATCTTACACCAAAGCAAATTTGTTTCCCCGCATTCAAGTGCAAAAACACATGGGTAGTTATTATGCAGGAGAAGGAAGAGGTGAACACAGCGTTCAATGCCTGGGTGTGTCACTGACTTGGATGATCCATGTGGTGCTTTCTGAAACTGAGATGCAAGATTTATTTTGAGCCCTTCTAGATGCAAGATACAGTGAGATGTCACCAAGTAACTATTTAAGAATAGTTCTGCTTTGAGAAATATCTTCAAAAGGTATGTTACCAAAATTACAGATCACTGTTTCCTGAAGCAAAATTCCATTACAAAACCTTGAGAAATCACTTCAAAAATACAAACAAAAGACACACACATGAAGCAATAGGCATTTTTATATTGGCAGCTGAACACAAAACCAAGAAAGATGTTTATCTCTACCTTCATGCCTGTTGAACTCTTCTCATGCAGGTAACAATAATTTACTTTCTGGAATCTCTTAACTTCAGATTGGATGTAGAGTGACCACTACCTTTTTCAACAGCAGAAAGCATTACCTGAAAGCCATCTGCCCCAAGACCACCTATGCCACAGAACACAGCTGTTTCCTTAAGTACACTCCAGTCAGGAGAAACTGCATTTGCATTCTGACCCCTGCTATTCTGATCAATCTCTTAAAGATTTCAACTTGTTTCAAGTCTGGAGGCATTGGGTTTCAGCAAAACACAGCTCACCTCTCGCTCTGCGTGGTGTTGCCAACCAAACTGAGAGGTCTGACACTGGCAAACAGATTCAGCCCTGGAGATACAGGGATGATACACACCCCAATGTTCTGAAAGGTAGACTCACAGGATTGTTCAGCACGCTAATTATAGCCTTCAAGGCAGGACTGAGAGCACTATCCACATGAACACTAGCAGTACAGTATGCCAACATGGACTACGAGAGCTTGAACTGCTCAGAGAACAGAAGACAATTTCAGGCTCTTTGATAAGGTCCCCAAACCACAAACAAAGGAAGGCTGCCCTCAAGAACATTTTTCATGAGCTTGAAAAAGAAAATCCGGTTTTACTAAGCACAGTTAGTGAAGCATCAAATTGCCTCCTAAAGCAGAGACTTTGCTCTCTACACAAAGCAAGTCTGGAACAATTTCAAGCATTGTGTGCAGCGGCCAAGGCTGGAAGAATGAAAGTTTACCTACACCATTATGTCGTTGTAGCAGCCATGATATTCTGTGAGAGTATTAGCAGGATTACAACTGCCTTTGCTTTCGCCATACACACTGATAACGTGAGTTAAAACATCCTTCCTATGTGGCTTGAACGAGGCACTTAAAGCGGTCAAAAAAAGCTGAAACACTAAGCAAAGCAACCAAACTGCATTCTGGTTATTTTCTCCCTCTTCAATTTCACTCTTTTTTTCCAAATGATGAGCAAAAAAGACAATGGATTCCTTGGAGTCAGACTTGGATCCTGAAAGAATTCTGTCCTAGTAGGAAACTTTAACTTCCTGGCTATCAGCTGAATACTGCCTTTACTGAACAGAAGGGTCCATATGTTCTTGGCTGTGATTCCAACCACCTTGGAAACAGCAAAAGGTAGTTTTATCTTTTAAATTAATTTTGGCAATGTGGCAAATTTGTCAGAGGAAATAATCTCTGATAATTTACAGCAGCAAATATATGGCTTAAAGTCAAAGAATTAACAAAAGCAGATTTACAATGGAGATTCTTGATTTCAAATAGGCAGACAGACTACAGACAATAGTCTCCTAGACAGTGGATCTGGAAGGAGTACATCTAAACACCAGCTCTAGTACAAGGAAACCAACTCCCCCCCTCCTTATCTCCACAGGGAACAGGATATTCACTCCTTGGCCAAATTCAACCCCCTAAGTTGAATTGGTGTTCTGATCTCCCCCATAGGGCTGCTCATTTTTCCCTTCCTGTGATTTGAGGGTAGGTTCTCATTCTGAACCTCAACAGATACATTCTGAAGATGGAAATGGAAAAAGTCCTTAGATTTGCTTCCGTTAGAAATATGAAAGCTTTCACCTCCAAAAAGAAAGTTTCAGGGAAGGACTCCAGATGTAAGATGAATAAATACCCTAGAAGAATGCTTGAGCAAATACACCCACCTCACAAGAAGCGATCAGAAAAGTGCAGATTTGCTGCATGACTTAGGAGTTACTCAGTACAGAGACATAAAAAAGGAATAGCTGTAAAGTGAAATGGAGCTGGCATAGCCACACAGGTAAAACGATGATGAAAGTAGGGTTAAAATACAGCAAGGATGTGGGAGAGACAAAAACACGTTTAAGAGCAACTCCCAAAACTAAGTATTTTATTTTAGGTTTCAGTAGATAGGGTGGAAAAAGGAACAGGAACAAAGACAGGACAGACAGCAGGAATGAGTGTGTAAAGCAGGAAGTCACAAATTCAGGAAGATGAGAGCTGTCTGCTGAGACCAGACCAAGAAAATTATTCCAGGACTAAGCGTGGTTTGAAGAATCACCTTTCTGTTGGTAGCAACAGCGACTTATAACACAAATACAAAATGATAACATAGATTTAGAAATTGAGAGCTGTTTGTTTTTGGTTTTTTTTTCCCCACAAGGGAAAAGTGAAGAAAGCACCTTATCAGCCTTCTGGCAGAGCCATTTACCACCAAATTCTTGAGCTCAAAACTTGCAAGGAAAAAGCAGGGAAACAGAAAGAAGGGTTAAATACAACACACTTTCCCACTGCTAATTGTGCCTGATGGAAACACACCATGCATGCCTACCTTGGCTACTGCTAAGCCTCACTTAGGAGGACAAACAAATTACTGTACTAAACAAACTGGAATGTGCACAGGTCTATTAATTAGATAAACAACTGGGTGAAGAGATACTAGGTTGGAAGTAAATAAGAGTTTTATAAGGATCAGACCTATGACCCATCCTGTTCAATACCTGTATCAGTGGCCTTCATCACTATGGTTTGACCTCCTATGTTAAGTTTGTTGAAGGAATTAAGAATCAGTGTCAAAGACAGTGGAAAACAGGTGTAAAAAAGCTTGGAGATGAGAATTAGCAATGGAAACAAGATTCAAAGTACAAAGTGCTGATGATGATCACGACCAAACCAAACATAACTGCTGTGAACAAGGTAACTGTAATCTAAGGACGGATCCAATAACTTCTGTAAGGGCAAGGGCAGACTACTGGCAGCGGGGAAACCGTCATCCAATATGTTGCAAACAACGCTGGCCATATACATCTAACATAGGAAACCACTATCAATGCACTATAGTTCATCTAGCAGGAAGAAAGTCTTGCACATCTCTCCTACAAAAAAGGAGAAACAGTTCAAAATACCTTCAAGTTATTCTTGCAAAAGTAGCTTGTTTCCTTCAAAGGAATGCACTCCTTTAGGTACCCTGAACCAATGGCCAGATCCTTGGAAGCACTCATGCTTTGAATTGACTGAATGGCATCTATCCCATGAGAGCTGCAAAAACTTAGTACCTAAATCTTTCCAAGTTTGGCCAAAGATTTGATGGCATCCCATGATTTGCTGAAATCTCAAACAATAACAGCACACAGCTGTGTTCAACTAGAAGAAACCATAGCTGTATTTTTGCAAAGCAGTGTGTCACAAAGGCTGCAAATAGGCTCTATGATACTTATCTCCAACACTCATACCTACAATAATAGCAAAGAAATACTAAGTACGTGTATTTCCTGTGTTAAGAGCCAGTACAGAGGGAAGGAAATTTAATGGGAAAGTAATTAACTGAAAACTTTTTCTAAGAAAGAGCACTAACTTTAACACCAGAAGGCAACTGCTGACCACCAGAACTGACAGCTTTGAAAACCAAACCAAAACAAATAATCCCTCTCAGCAACTCTTGCAAAGTGATGCCTCCTCAGCTTTTCCCAGTGATATTGGATTGGATTCCATATTAACTCATAAAAATAAATTCTCCTGAAGTACTATAATCAACTACTTAGTTTTCTTCAAAAATTTTTGCTTTAATCAACATTTCACTAATTACACAGGTTTGTCAAGAATAGGTCAACAAGGAGTTTCTCTCTCTTTCAGTATGTAGTGTTGCTACTAATAAGATCAGCACTAAGATACACCTTGCTGTAATGAGCAAACAGCAACATAACTTTCCAAATCAGAACCATCATTAGGTAGAAGTTATTAATTATGTTACAGTGGCATGCAGAAACTAATTGCAGGGCTGAGTTAAACACTATGTAGAGATAGGAGAGTAAGCCTGTCTGCACCACACAGCAGAGCAGCAGACTCACAGAACAAACTGGAATGTCTTCCCAGAGCTGCAGACACTGGCAGAGCTCCTAGGAGACGCATCACTCTAACCAGAAAATGCTCTGTACTGGGCTATCCAGACCAAGCAGATCACCATAATCAAGGGCATGGATTCACTGCCTTTTCTGACTCCACTTCCAGTATAGTCCTGAGCTGTGCTGGTTAGCAACACCAAGAGGCAATCTTCCTAGCAAGCTTATTTGATTACTGTATATTCAGCCTGTTTTCCAGGAACGGAGAATTTAGACACGAATTCTGGTACCAAGCCTGAATGTAATTCACATGCACAGAGATTTGTAGAAAATGCAAATTTAAGAGACCTTTTTCAAAAGAAGCTATTTGAGGATCATTAGAACTAAAAATGCAGATTTTATTTTCAGGCTTTTTTCCTAAAACAGTGTTAATATCTCTAGTAAAAAGTTCACAGACTCGGACAGCATTATTTTAAGAGATAATCCCAATGACAGCAATTCACTGTTACTCATTCCCATACCACTTTACCTCTCTGCCTGTGAGGATGTGCCTCGCCAGCTTTACTTTTGCAAAATTCCCCTTTCCAATCGTTTTGAGGAGTCTGTAATTTCCAATATGTGGTTGCTCATCTGCACAGGAAGCTATAGAATTCCTGCAACGAGCTCCAGAGCGCCCAGATCGAGAGGAAACTTCCTGTCGTCCATCTCCATGGGACGTGTGCTGCAATGAAAACATACACACATAAGGCTGAGAAATAAAGAAAAAAAATCATATCAATGTTGAGACAGTTTAATACTATTGATAAAATGAAAATTCTTCTCCAAGAGGGTTTTTTTCTTCTTGTGCTGAGATGCCTGTTCCTACAAAACTTCATGTCTGGAAATACACAAGACAGTCTGGAGAACTATGGAAGAAATCTTAACATATATAAAAACCACAAATATTAATAGGTATAATTAACAGTAATTAATAATACTTCTTCATCTCCTGGCAAAGAGCTTATTTCTGAAAGAGAAGGTTCCCCTCACATCCCTTAGCTCCCAGCTCACGCCTGCAGTCTATACACCATTCTCATCAATTAAAGCATTGGTCACATACACTCAGTAGGCTGCAAATGTGGAGCAAGTGCTCGGCTCCACATAAGACAACAGGCTAAATTTACTGCCATCCCAGAATTCCTACATTGTGCTGTCTGTCTAAAGACATCCAGAGGAGGTTTAGGACAAAAAGCAGAAGGTATTCTTAATTCTCCCCTCTCGAAATGTTAAGATTTTCTGCTCTCTTTGCTCATTCTTCTTGCTGATTATAGTTTTCAGAAGCAGTGGCATTCATCAAGAAGTTAAAGCATTAGCCTCAATGAAATCTTTGCTATAACCCAATCACAGAGAAGCTCATTTTTCTGTTCAAACACTACTCAAGCATGCAGGTCAGCTTAGGAGGATAGAATTTCAAGGTTCCTTCAAAAGCACAACCACAGAATGGTTTGGGTTGGAAAGGACCTTCAAGATCATCTAGCTCCAAATATGTAAGTACGTAGACGCTTAGCTATCATTCCCTCTGTTTCAGCGTCTCAGTATCAAATACCCTTTCACTTACAAAAACATAACCATTAGATATCTGTTACACCAACAGCCAACAAGGACTTGCAACAGTGTGCTCAGGTATCTGTTTAACATATTGTTTGTAGCTTCGTCTTTTCCATAAAGCACCACCTTTAGAAAGGGATCTTCAAATGTATATCCCATGGGTAAATCTACTCAGTTTCTAGTGGAGACATCTATCTTGTCATCCATTGGCAGAATGGAATAAGCTTTGTTTCATATGTTTTATACTGCTTTGGGAATTCAAGAATAAGGATTAGGCTTACCATATTATAAATACAAAAAGCAGCACATATACAAGCCTCCAAGAAAACAACATTCAATAAAGGATTTAGAAGTATGTTTTCCTCTCAAGTAGTCTAAGTATACTGTTCTGTTTCTTAAGGGAAAATTACATTTTCTGTATGACTGAAGTACAATTTCTGTAATATAATGGTGTTTATTTTCCAAATAATGCAATTGCTTTCTCCCTCCTTGAAGTCTGTATCATATAGGGCAGCAAGAAGTTATCTCCATTTATCCCGCATTCCCTTCTGCTCTTTCCAACACTTGCCATGCTGTTTATTTGAGCCCCAAAGGGCCCCATGCAGTTATCTATCCCTTCAACTTCTTTCTGCATTAGTTGTAGCTTTTCTACTCTTGCTGAAACCCAGCAGGGACAGCCAAAAACCTGGCAGACAGGTTTCAGTGTGAAATCACCACAGCAAAGGAATGAGAGATGATAACTGAAAAGTTAACAACCGTGGTACAAGCAGAAATGAAAAAAAAAAAAAAAAAAAAACAAACAAAACACATGCCTGCATGGCACTTGGCAAGTTCATGCACTATTTAATAACCTGATGTAACCCTGTGACCACATACTCTGGCACCTTACGTTCCTCGGTTTGTTAATTTGAGTGCAACAGCTGTGATCAAATTATTTTTAAAAAGCCATTTGTTTCATTTATGAAACACTAGTGATAGGAAGGCTAGATCAACCCGCAGAAATCTGTTGCAATAGTTACTATTTAAAAATAAAAAAATCAATGGTAGTACATATAATGTTTTAGTGTCAATCTGGCTTTGGCTTCTCTTTATGGCCTGGCCATTGTTACCAGATTTCTACTTCCAGTGCAGCACTTAATTACTCTGGTCACATAATCCCTTTACTTTAATAAGATACATATAGCCTCCCTAAGCAGCTGCTGTAAGAATGATTAAAGACTCTTGTATGATAATGATAAAGTTTCTTGTAGTTCTTTTCAGAGCATTCCAATTTCTCCAACACCTTTAGTGGGGTTCATGCTTGCGCTGCGCACACCATAGCAGCAGCTGTTGCAGTTGGACAAAACACAGAGACTGCATTTGTATCTGACCACCCAACAGTAATCCCAACTCTGTGAATTACTGCTTCCCAGTCCCTTCACACGCATAACTCTCACTCCTGGTTCTTCACAAATATTACCTTACCTTTGGCTGCAGTGCAATACAGTTTCCTCACATGTACCTTATTACATGCTCCTAATGATTGGCCCATCCTGACCTACTTAGTATTTTAGCAATCTCCTCCTAGTTTTTAGGAATGGCAGTATACATGTCTTCCAAACCACTAACGGCACAAGAACCAAAAGCATAAGAACCATAACAAGATCTACATTCAAGAGCTTGATAACAACTCCACATTTTCAATTCTATCTCAAGACCTGTAACAACTGCTAAGTGCTTACCAATAGAGCATTCTCAAGGAGAGGATCAACAAGACTACCTGCATCCTTTCCAACAGCTGAAGGAACTACTAAAGCCAGTGAAATCCTGTTCCAACAATTTCATTGCTCTGCATGCCGTTAGTGCCAGGCCAATGCTGGATGTCCAGGATGCCCTCTTCATCCCCACATGCAGTGGCACAGCAATGCCAATCCTTTATACTCCCCTAAACTTTGACTTCCAACACACCTTGTAACAGGTAATGCAGAGAATTTCTCTGTCAGCTCCTAATACCTTCAAATGTCAGTCATTCAGACTGCTAGAAAAAAAAGAGCAGCAACTGCTGATGCTAGATATTAACACCCTCCTAAACTGCCATCCCTTGCAACCAGGGGCTGGGATGTCCTGTACAGGATTATGAGGATATTTCTTGGATGCGTTAGAAGAAGGCTCACTTTTAATTCACATACAGCACTCCAGGAATACAGCTGCCCTATTTATGCGGCACTACACTGAGCTGATGATTTACCTCAGAAAGGGAAGTAAAGCAGAACTAATTAGGTGACAACCTTTCCACATCTGGGCACGTGGTACAGGCACACACACTGCCTGAGCTGCCTGACCTACCTTACGTGCAGTTCAGACATGGGCATCAGGTACACCGTACTCTCAAAGCAGAGAACTTGCGTACAGTCTATTCATAACTCATCTTCCTCATATTCTCCTACTCTGTATAAGCATTATTAGATAAAAAAACAGATACTTACATATTCTATTTAATGTAGTAAAACACTTCAGTTAATATGTTTTGAGAGCCTCATTGTCCTCTGTTGAGGAATGACTTCTTGTGTCCTATCATTTTCTTCATGCTTTCTAGCTTCGCACTTAAAGGCAGGAATTAACAGCTGTGAACTTATCTGGATGAGTGTTGATAAATTTAACATAATCTCCTTGTATGGAGGTTTGCATTTCCACCCTAACTCTGATTATTTCTTTTCAAAAACATGACCTTTTTCAGTTGTGTTTTTGGAATATCAAGCTGTGTGTTCCTAAGCAGTTCAGTTCTCTCCAACTGACTCGCTCAGAGCTTGCATTCAGCTCCATAGAAATCTGTCCATTTACAGCAATACCTAATTTCGACTTCTATTTCATCTCATATCAGTAAATCTATCAGCAAGTCCTTCTTCTGTCAAATACAGAATTATACTGAACAGAAGACAAGCTTTCTAAAAACTCCAGAAACAGGTTTACAGTTTCAACGTGGGTTCTTTTTTTTTTACTGATGGAAATGAAGGAAGAGAAGTCGGTAGCATACAGTACTAAAAGGTGCAAAGTCAAAAAGCCATTTCTTTGAGCCCCAAAGGGCCCCATCCAGTTATCTATCCCTTCAACTTCTTCCTGCATTAGTTATAGCTTTTCTACTCTACCCAAATCATTTTCAAGAATCCACAGAAGAAAAGCTAAATGGCGTAGGCAAAAAGTACGAATATAGCTGGTCCAGGAACAGTTCATGTCAGGCATTGGATTGTAAAGCATTTGACTACTCAGCTTCCTAAAGGCAGCTTCCTCAGCAGCTACTTTGATGCAGCAAAAAAGCATCATTGCAGTCTATCAGCTCCTATCCCCTCCTGAAGAAACAGTGGTGCAGGGAAGCCTGCCATCCTCAAAGTGGAGACCTGAAGGAACGGGACTAAATGCTATGAGTGGGCTTGTGGACTAGTCAGTGCTCCTGCTTATTTTAAAATCAAGGTTGCCTGAATGCCGCTTATGAGAAGACAATGTTTTCCTCTATATTTCAACAAGCATCAGGTTCAATTTCTAAATCTTTTGAAGACTTCAAAGGCTTGCTTTTGTTTGTTTTGCACATGGTAGGGAGGTCCTCTAAGAAAACCTGTAAGTTTCCAAGCCAATTAGACCCCTGTCCCAACACCACTCTGCTAATACTCAACCCATGACTTGGAAACGCAGTAAAACATCTCCACTTGTGTGACCTCACTGTGAGGGACTGAGCCCAACACTAACTGGAACTGGAACACAACACAAAACCCACCTTTTCACAACAGCCTTCCCCCAATGATGAGCTGACATCCTTTCATAGCCAGACAATGATTAGCATGAAGAGAAAGAAAAAGAAAAGTAAAAAGCAAACAAAGTATGAATGTGCTGGTTAACTGAAACTGCTCTGGTAGGTGTAAGCTTTATCCAGTATCTGTATGCTTAGAGAGATCTTAACATTCCGAGCACTGAAACCCACATGGCAAGGGATGACTACTGTCAAAGTTGTTGTAATAATTACAAAGGTGCCAGCAGCTAAGGAAACACCAGGAAGAGACAGAATCTGATATTCACTGGAAGAGCTGAAAAAACGTGAAAAAATCCAGCACGGCGAGGACATGCAAAAATACCGTATGATGGTCAATAGGAAGCGTTTTTTCT